GTGAAGCAGAGATCAGCTTTTCTGCAAACAAGAGTTGGTCTTATATAATAGTTGCATATTTCTTATAGAATTGCAAATTAATCGTACCTAGTGTCTTTGAGTTACGAAATCCAAGGAGACACCTGCTTTTTATTTATTTCCAGTTATCATTAGATGACATTTCTACTCAGTGAGATTTCTACTTCTCACTGAAAGCCACACGATTTGTCGTGGCGGTTACCGACAGTTGACTAATGTGTATTTCTATAATTTATATAATCTGAGCATGCAGTTAACATATGAATTAGTTTCAGATTTTCACATTATTCGATTTGTGGCATGTAATCATGCACTCCAACGCATGAATATTAGGTTTATTAAATGTAGCTCTTCTAAATCACTACGAAATTGTGCGCACGAGCTAGGGGCTCGAATAGGAGAAATAGTGTAGTGAAATGTATATTAAGCGTAAGAGATAAACAAGCGTACAAAACTATATTTGTGGGTTTTCACCCAATTCATGTATAATCCCCATTCAGGCATTAATGAAAACAAAACACGTAGATCAGCGAAGAGTCTCTTTTCGGTGAATTCATTTTCTTAGCTGTACAATCGCAAATATATGTTATTTTGTATGTATGTATACATTAAGTTTGTCAAACAAAAATACAATTGGTTATAGTTATTTTAACTAAACAGGTGAAGATTGGTAATTGGAGTTACGTAATAGAAAACCAGTCAAGAAAATTAGGTGTTAATGAAATTAGGGTAGTAACAAAGGTTGTCACAAACAGTTGTTAAAAGAAGTTATGTAATGATATGAATAGTTTGATGAGTGAGTTTTACTCAGGATGCACATAGGAGCAAAGTAGATAATACGAAATTACGTAAGAGTTCTAAATGCATACAGGATTATAAGCAATTAGAGAACAGGCAAAGAAACAAAAGTCATCAAAACCAAAAAAGTTGTTACCAAGACAGTAGAAGTGGTTGAGTAATCCTCTTTTGTGTGCACAGCTCCGGTTTTTCTATGTGAATGGCCAGAGCTTCAGTGATACAAAGAAGACGAAACCGTATTGCCTTTGGTAGGTTGTTCTTGACTCTGTAGATTACTTTCACCCAATCACATAAGAGTAAGTGAAAACCTCGAATTCGACTGACAATCTTTGCATTTCTAAATATTCAATCTTGGCGGTCAAATGAATGAATATACAGAGGCATATTTCACTACGGGCTGTTTTAATTGCGTATAAACAGAATCAATAAAAAGTGCTAAAGAAGCAATGAATAGTCACGATGAGAGAAGTAATCAATCTTAGTCATCATAAACTGATTTGCAATGAGGTAATAACAGTAGGTCAGTAAGTTCTCTGTGTACTACAGTGCAAATGAACATTACTCAAACTCTGCTTCAATAATGAACAAAAATGCGCAAACTCTATCAAGTACACAGTACCCAATAACAACAGGATACAGGAAGCACTAATAGAGATAAAACAATGATAACTCTTCACACTGTCTGTTGACTGGATATGATCGAGTTAATATTACTTGAAAGCATAGTAAATAATCATAGTAAAACCATTCTTATTGTACGAAAAATCCTCATGAAGATTTACGAAACAATTAGTTCCGGTGATTTCATTCTTAAAGCGATTCAGACACTCCTATGTACTACTACGCACTCTTTTGGGACACAGAGTTGACGCGAAATGTTGAGTCGCTGATGCCTCAGCCATTCCCTATTGCCTTAGTCTTATTTCTTTCCGGCATATATTGAGAAGCATTACCCAAAATAGGTATCACTGCCGTGCTGAAATTGATACTATTCAACTCCTTCCCAGAATGCAGGGTTGACGAAACCTAAATCTAGACATCTCCACTATCTAACTACGGACTGAGTTAACCTATTTGCAGCTAATAATTTTAACTGACAACTTAACGTGACCATTCATCCATCCTTGTTACGAACTGTCTGTTTTGTAATAACTTAATTTCAGTAATTTCTATAAACTAACGATATTATTATGGTAGGTTATATATTAATTGTCGTAAGGAACTTTGTGATCACCACACCGTTTCAAAGTTTATTCATCCTTATTTGAAAAGGTGTAAGTTATTAATGTTTAAATCCATTCAGATTCAGTGAGGTAGCAGATAAAATTCAATCAGGTCATCGTTTTGTCCTCTTGATATCATAAGGCTGTCTAGTTTAATTCAACTTTGTTCACCCACCCACCAACCTATCTGACTCATCGTATAATCTTAAAGATTGCGTAATCACTTCATATGATACACCTCTCTCTCTCTTTTTCCTAGTCATTTTAAACCAAAAACACCAAGTGGGGATATTTTAAATATCACTCCTCTAAATTTGGAAAGATTTCACGAGTGGAATGAGGCTATGAATTTCGATACTATAACTTTGCATAATTATCTTTAGATAATGAAACTAATCTATTCTATCATAATAATATTCTCATTAACCGAATGCTTAAAAAATAATATGAACTGAAAAGAGTTCCCTTCTTGCTACTGTGCATCAGTAAAGCTCATCTACAACTTTTCAAACTTTAATCTGTTACAGTTTATGACGAAAACACACCTTAACCCTAAGCTATTCTGGTCACAACTCACTTCGAGTAGGACTGATCGATACAAATGAATCAGTTGTCAGATCACTAAAAAAAAGTTGTCCTGTAATGACTTTCTTGATTGGAAAGTTTTCGTTTAATAACTAAATTTACATAAAAAAAAGGGGACAATAAGCAGTCAATAAGACGTGATAAGAATATTCATTAAGTTCAGTGTGAACTTAGTTTTCCGAGTGAGATGTAGAATTCCCAATATGTCATTTTAACGTTGACACCACATCAAATATCAAAGAGCTATATTCACGGGTACGATTATGATGCCTATTATCATTAAGTGTGAAAACCAATGACGTTATTGAACAACTCACAGTAAAATGAAATTGAGAAGACTCTATGGTCTAAATTGTACAATTAATTTAAAATAAAATATACAGTTGTTTGATTCGCAGATCAAAAGTTGATAATTTCTAGTCGATAGGTGTCGTCAAAAAAACCAAGCAATATGCAGGTTGAATAAAAGATTCCAATTCAAGACAGTAAGCCTCTACTTTGATGACAATCGCTATAAATACAAAACGAGTCAAGAATACTTTTTTTAAATGGACTAGTGAATCAGGATTATTATGACAAAGAAATCAAACATTTGATTGGATCGTGACTAATATTATATCAGTGAAGCGCGAAATATATAAAGTACCAATAGGTACTGCACAATTTCTGAAATACCTCAGTTATACATGGCTAAATTATTCCCTACTCAATTACTTAGTATTTCAACTCTACTCCAATACACTCACAATATATCAACGCGTTTATATCATTCTCATAATCAACTTTAAGACAACCAGAAACTTAAATTCGCCGAAAAGAAGTTCATCATTGAACTGTTTATTCTTATTTCCATGATCTGAACACACCAAGAAAAATTACTAAATACGGAAGAACTATTTACTCTCAATATGGAACTCTGTGGTTGTATGACCCTGGAAAATTAAACACACAACAATCAGATTACGAGGAGAACTAGTCATCACTTCCCTAGTAAGTACAAGTGTACAATTCATGTTTTTTGGTGTTTGCCGTTTCACAATATACAGTCACTTTATTCCATAGCTGTCGGCTTGTTACGTCCTACCACTCTACTTGATAGATATATCGAAATGGTCCTCTTTAGACACAGGAATACACAGATTACTGAATACTGAAATCAATGACAGACACGGAAATTAAGTCGTCTTGTAACAACAGATCGTTTATTAAGGAAATCAAAACATATTTATATATTTTCATGTACATTATTATAGATTATTTAAGCAAACAAACGTAGTCCTCTGATTGATTGTTTCTCGCTGAAAGTTAATCTTTCTTCTCTTTGTGGCTGTTTCTTGAAAGTCAGATCATCTATATGCTATTTGTATCTGCCTACACAAAGCCTTTGTTCTCATTTTTCTCACGACCAATATTGGGGACACAAACATTGACGTAAATTACTGTCCACCAATTTTGGCTATCAGCCAGCTCTCACCACAGTCTTACTACCTCTTAGCCATCAATTTTTCTCTTTCATCATAATATCCGCTGACCACTGGCATGACATAGCATAACAGTAAATGTCACTCCAATTTACAAACGGAAGTCGAGCTTAGAGGAAAACAGCACCACAGTTTTGCTTTGATTTGACTGTAAAACTCTAAACTATACCACAGAAAAGAAAGGACAATTAATTCGCTACATTTACTAATGTTCCCTCCAGTAGCACTAAAAATTTTGTTAGAGCAACCAAAACCAGCCTGGTATCAAATATTTGAAGTTGTCTGTAAAGTTGTTCGTATTATGAAAACCCTAGACCCTTCCATATTTAAAAGACTCAACTCAGCATCAAATAAATATAAAATTGCTAGGATGACACCACACACACATGATACAGTAAGGTATTATTTGTCCTTCAAGTAGTCAATGAAGATTCAACGTTGATATAAAATCCTAAAGAGCTTTGCAAAGACTGTTCCGGATATACACTATATTTTTCACATGGCCAATAATCTTCAAAACCCTACCGTACACCGAAATCGACTTCTTTCATATCTAAAAAATTTACGTAAATTGCAACAATACTAAGAGACATGTCATTATGACAAAAATTAACCACACTAATGCATGTACATAACAAATATTCATTAAGGTGGGAAACTTGTCATACTGAAGTATGTAGATAAAATGAAACATTATACACGAATTGAAACCAGAAACTGAATTCATCAGTGAATACACAGTTATCACTATGGTTTTCTGTTTGGTAAGGAATTTCAATACATTTCATATTTGCTTTTTGTGATAAAGAACCTGACTTAATGTAAATCTGAAGATATGGCATTTAATGTCAACATTTAAGGCAACTAACTAAGTCCCCAGAATGAAAATAAAAAACACAAAGCATATGAACTGTATAAAATAATAACTTGTATATTTTTATAAATCTATGAATTTACCAACAATTATTAGATGTAGTGGAACACTAGATTGTCAAAATAAATAAGATTGCATAGATCGATGAAAATGCAATATGTTTGTAAAAACAAGAAAACATATAGGATATATAAGTATGAAAAATAGTTTCGTTGTTTAATACGAGGATCTATGGTTCGTGTTCACCTAATGTCCTGAAATAAATCAAAAAAGTCAAATGAGAAATGCGGGTCTAAATAAGGCAGACATAGACAGACATTTCAATATTATAATGGCTGCTTAGCTGTTCTAACGAAGGCTATGAGTAGTGCAATCTGTAAAATGAATTGAGCACCTGAACAGAATGCAGCAAAGCATTTAGCAGAAGCAGGTCAGTTTGCTCCACACATAACCTCCGATAAGTGAACAGTTGTATAGGATACCTTTAAAAAACTCCATAAGATAAAACAGTAATTACCTAACATGAAGAAATTACGGACAATATTACTAAATTGACAGAACATACCTACATTTAAACTGTGTGCACAATAACTTTTCGACTGGCATCATAAACAAAATGATGTGCTTTGAAAAGATCGCTCTGTAGGAATGGACGAACAGAGGTTATATTAATCTGCTTCGCACGTTCGGCAAACTCTCTTTCGGTAACCTCGATACGCCACTCTTGATTTCCTGCATGTCGAATGCGCTCAAAAGCTAGTCTATCTTGGACCATCTGCTTCAGCAAGAATAACAGCAACTCTTGATTATCACGACGGTAACTGAGGAATCGCGAAAATGTCTGAAAGTATGATTGGCAAAACATCAAGAAGCATGAAACATAAATAGTGGCAAAAGCAACCCAATTGCAATGAAAAGCAGTGAAAAACTGTAATAACTAACCGTTGTTACAACAAGAATTAGCAGGATTCAATGAATAAAGCTTATGAAGTCGTATGCACAGTGACTATTTTAATAATAGAGACACGGTGTTTCGAGGTATAGATAAAAGACTGACAAAAATGGCAATTTATCACATGCACGAACAAGTGCTGTTCACTAAAAGTAGAATGAAATCATCTGAGTATACAAAATGAAAAATGAGCTCATTTGAAATATGATGGGTCATCATTATACATGGAGTGTTTTCACTAAGGCAATTGAAGTAGCTAACTTGTGCCAATAATTTAAGTAACAGACAAAAAAGAAACAAACGTGCAATGCTCACCTGACGCATAGACTTCATGACACTGAACTTCTGAGTGGAAACAAATGATTCCAACATGACACGCAGGGCCATATTAACATCATCCTCATTAACGAATTCTCGGAGATGTAAACGAGCATGTGCCTCAGACAAACGAATCACTGATTCAATATGGCGTACCGTAATTGGTAAGCTACCCGTGACCTACGAAGAGAATGAGCCAGAGAAACACGGTCTAGATAAGAACATGAATGAAGAGCATCACTGACTGGAAGATAATAGCAGACAATCAGGTGAATACAATCCGCAGACCATGTAAAATTGTCATAGCTAGAAGTAAACACTTACCATAGACTCGCGTCTTAAATCAGCATAAGCTGCAGCAACCTTGTCCTGGTCCATTTGATTTAACTTCGGATGAATACGATCTTTGGCATAAATTATATACTTCTTTAACAGTTCCTGAATTCAAAGTAAACCAAAACATAGTCTAGTATCAATGTGATACAGGAAGTGTGAAAATAAATGTTACATTCCATATTGAATACAGTTTATGACAGCAACGTTTAAATATTTAGTGAGTTGCACACAAACACTATAAACAAATGTCATCATTTGTGTCTTTATTCTGACGTAGAAATTCATCAAACCAACTATCACATTAAAACCAATCAAATAACGAGTGACCTCATGAAACACACAGTTTACTCAGCTTAGGCCAACCACAAAGAAGAGTTACAAATAAATAACGAGTGACATAAACATATTCGAGACTGCTTATGATTGGTTACTCCAATGTCAACACGACAAACAGTGACAAAAGGTGTCAAAATGATTGTAAATCAGCTAGCAAATATGTTTGTTGTTCAAGAATATATTTAACCATGGAAACATACATAAAAACATTTAATGCTAAGAAATAAAACAATATTATGGTGTAAGATGTTACCTATTCTGCTAAAATTGACCCTATTAGGAATCCACTTATCAATTTACTGAAGTTATTTATTTATTTATTTAAATACACGGTGCTCTGGATTGTACAAATATTGTAGCAGGCACTTATAACAGTCTAAAAAGATAACAATCATTATGAGGTCTCTTATGTAGACGTTGAAATACCAATAGATTTAAGATACAAGTCCTTCAAAGTTAATGATGATAACTGATTCCTTTATCTGAGCTATACCAGATAGGAATCACAATTGTGAAATTGATGACTAATCACTTCTTTCCCAAAAGAGAACACTAGAGATCGTCCAAGAAGTTCATACCCTATGGCTGAACAACTGAAAACCACAATTATATGACATACGCTTCAAACAAAATGCTATCCAATTAGAGTTGTTTTCTCAAGAAGTATAATAAAACACCGCTTCTCATTTTCAGATTCAAGATGTCTATTACTGTATCTTTTTCCAACAACAGGATTTCTGATGACGAAATATCCTAAATGTATCAGAGTCAACTAAATTAAAGATGTGTTGACAGATCAGTGGGGTACTGAGGTCCATCAGTCCAAGTTGCCGCACTTAAAAAAAAATAATGAATGATATTATATATACTTCAGTTTTCAAGTTATCGAAGATGACAGGGATTAGGTACATCTGCTCTGTTAAGTATGATTTTGAGCCATCTTTACAAGTATATCCTACTTTTCTAGCATTTTGTGAACCTCAGATAAACAATTTACGCCAACACGTCTCAGATCAAGAGTCACTAACTTCATCCAATTCGTTTAAATTTCAGTCTGGGAATTTCTAACTCCAATCCAACTTAATAACAGTTAAAACGCGGTTCGACTGACTACTTTTCTCTGCCAATAAAATAGTACACAACATACTGCGGTACAGTTCACACGAACGCTGAAGGACAGTCAGATATAACACCTGTGACAAGTGGATAAAAGTCGAAAAAGTATGTTTATCTGCCTTGAGTTATGTCAGCAGCAACTAGGATAATAAGGGGTAATACATCCCAAAAAAAGGAACACACAACAATTCCGCTCCTTATCCTTAAAATACTACCTTAAATTTCACGATTGCAAACCACATCTTAAATGTGTTCCAGGTTTTTCCAGGGCGTTTACAAGACTGCAATTTAACAGGATGAACCATAATGGGAACTAAAAGATATTCTAAACAAGCCGAAATATACTGCAGGAATAGCCAAAAAATCTATAAAACATTCCTTAGCAATCAGCAAGCAAAAATATTCATTGTAAACAGAATTTCTGAAATTTAAGATTAACATAATATTTACAAAAAATAATAATTAGTAGTAATATAGGTTGCATCGTTATTCGAGTGACACGTTACCCGTATGCATAATATGCGGGTCATTTAATACAACTTTGCTACTCGACAACAAAAGATAATTGAAGTTGATAACCGCGAATTAATATGAACAACAACGTATATATATATATATATATATATATATATATATATATATATATATATATATATGGGGGGAGAGAGTCAGTTAATAAAACTTATGTATATTACGTACACCACAAAGATAAAGATAGTACAAAAATTCCCATAAGAACCTATTGATTCAAGTAACGCTAAGGATGATGCCACAAAACATAAAAAGGTATTATCAAGAATATGAACTCTTTTTAATGGAGAGTAAGTGAATACTTCACTCTGATTATAGAATACTCGGTATGAGGCTAGCCTTACAACAGTTGTCGGGATGTTAAAACTGAAGGGGAACATGATGCACAAATTTAAGGCCAAACGCCAAACACAATACAGGATTGACCTTAACACTGTTGCACATTTTTTAAATATTGTCGAAAAAAGACAACTCTTTCAAGAGGAATTACGAGAGGATGCATTTTAAAACGACAAAAATGGTACTTAGAAACAAAAAATCGCAAACATGTCGGAAAACAATAGTCGGTATAAGTCTCTATCGCTAAAACTCTCAATAGCTGAGACAACGCAAATAGCGGCCCAAAACTGTACTACGAAATTCATCGCAGAAGCTCCGAACATCGTCACTGTTTGTTAGGTCTGGAACTGATTGGCGGGCATTGACTGGGATATAGTTGTGTTCGGTTATGCAGGTGCAAAATTGTTCACATAACCTTTTGAGGTACCGTTAATGAGAGAATATAAAACTGTGACAATCCTATTCAAATACTAAATTCTCTTGAAAAACATGTGGAATAACAACAATCTACCTGTGCATACATATATGCACGAAAGTAACACTATCTAGCGACCCAAATCTCAACTGGAGGAATAGCAAAGAAAACAAATGCTCAAAAGTATCACATAACAATGAAGGTTCATCACAATAAACAATATTCCTCAAAGGAACATATACATGCTTAAAGACAACCAATTACCTGACCTAGCGGTTGCAAATCTGAATAGGAACCAGTTCGAGTGACCCCAAGTTCTGTTAGTTGATCATTTAATGCAACCCGCTCATCTGGGGTAATGTTAGGGTGATGACGCATATGACTTCCGACAACAAAACGTGCAAGCATTTCATCCTTTTAAAATACAGAAAAGAATAATGTGTAGCGAACTTGTTATATATTAATCTGTACGTACTATTATTAAGATAAATACATCCAGTTACTTTCAGAGGACAAAATAAAGTGATTATATATATAATACCATAGGTGATTTACAGAAAACTGACCAATGCCTAAAGTTAATATTCATTATTGTGCATTGTATATACCATACAATCCTATGTGAGAATGCATAACCACCATACAAGAAGCCTTTATTTGTCCAGAATAAACTAAGAACTAAACCATCACAAGGACATTGTTTCAACACAAAGCTTATGCTCATTCATTCGTTAATTCAATCAAAATTGTAGAACAAATCAAGCATTCAATGATTATTCATTAAAAATTTAAGCTACTTAAAATCACCAAAGTAGTAAAACGAAATAAGACGCATCCACTCTATCTGTTGGATGAGTCCATGGTATGAATCAAAATCGTTCTCAGTAATTTAGATGCTGGCTGGCTGGATTCAACATAGAACTTGGCACTGAAGTGCAGCAGTTCCAGTTGCCACGTTCCAAATAGCACACAAAGGTAGACAAGAAAATGAGTGAAGAGAATCAATAGAGTTTTGACAAGTATAAGAGTAAAACAGAATGAGTAATTGTAGAAATGAATATGAAAGATTACAGAGACTGAATACATCTGCGCCATTGACAACGATTTTGTCAATTTAGATGCATTTATCTCTCATGGCTTTCCAGACACTTAACATCATTATTCATAATTTCTTCGCACATTTTCACTTGTTGCAGTTTAATTGCACTTTTCTCCACCATTCCCTTTTGTGTACTTTTACAAAGTGTGATGAATAGAACCGTTGCTTTTGTGAGAAGTTCCACGTTGATAATTCAGACGGTCTCATTTTTGTGTGATTCATCCCTTGATACCCATATATTGTACCAGATTTCAGTTTCGTATAGTTAGAAAAAATAATGTATAGTGGAAGAGGTTTCTAACTGAACTCCATTTTTTAGTAATGACATAAATACTGACTGACTGGTTTCAACGTAGAACTTTGCACAGATATGCACCAGTTTGAGTTGCCACATTCGCTCTATGTACCACACAAAGCAAGAGAAGAAAGGTTCGAAAGAGAGATAATAAACAGAAACATGAGGGAAAAAGAATAGTAATATGGAAGAACGATAGAATTTTATTGGATATGATAAATCACATAGAGTGAATGCATCTGCGCCAGCTATTGGGTACGATTTTGAGCCATATCAGTAGTTGCCTCATGTCAGTGGTTTTTACCATTCGAGGACCCTAACCAGGAAGTATACACTTTCCTACATGGCTTAAACTGACTGCTGTGGATTTCGTTGACTGATGCCATGTTTTGGTTTGGTCACCACTAGCTGATACTGACATAAATACACGTTGACATAGACTGCTTTCACCCAAATGAGATCATTTGGTATTATCACTTGCTACCATGAATTATGAATCCATCAAATAGTAACAGTTGGTGAATTTGCACTGTTTCTAGGTTTTAACCAGTGGTGGCCGACCGGGGTTCGATCCCCTGCCGGCGCACACCCGATATCTATGGTCGACCTGAATTTGGGCTACCGATATCCATGCTGAAAATTCCACACTTGTACTGAAAATACGGTGTGGAATCAAGCTGTAAATCAAATAAAAATAAAATAAAAAAGGCAGCATCACCATATAAAATGTATGCATTTTCAGCCAACTTTTTATATGTCTGATGACGAATAAGTAGGTGGTAGCTTACTTGAATAGGATCTACAGCGTCGCGTACTACACAGAGGACATCAAAACGGCTCAAAATAGGTTCACTCAAATCGACATTATCGGAAAATGTCATGCTTGGGTCATAACGACCACCGATAGGATTTGCAGCTGCAATGACGGTACATCTTGCTTGGAGGCTTGTCACGATACCAGCTTTACTTATTGAGATGCTCTGCTGTTCCATAGCTTCATGTATAGACGTTCGGTCTTGGTCATTCATCTATAATAAATAGGTTGAAAGATAAATTAGAGGCATAATAAGTCAAAAATAATCGATCTTATACTAGGAAGAGCACAAAAAAGTTGATCTCAGGATTTGCAATTAATCTCTAAATCAAGAATAATTTTTTCACGATATTACTCAAACTACTACACAAACAGTGACAACTGTTTCTAAAACATAAGTAACACCTAATCTTTATGACTTTTTTTAGCAAGTATGCTGTATGCTTAGGTTTTAAATGAGGTCTACTAAGTCACTTTAAAATCAATGTACAAAGGTTACCTTATCAAACTCATCAATGAGACAAACGCCACGATCAGCAAGTACTAGAGCACCAGCTTCTAAAGTCCACTCTCGACTCATTGGACTGCGGGTAACATATGCTGTCAAACCCACTGCACTTGCACCTTGACCAGTTGTGAAAACACTTCTTGGTGCTAGCTGTTCAACACACTTCAAGAACTGAGATTTGGCGGTTCCTGGATCTCCACAGAGAAGCATATTGATGTCACCTCTAACTTTATGCTTTCCACCTAAAAAAAAATACATAAACACGTATATATAAGACAGACAAAGACTTCCATCAACTTTTCGTTATGGGTTTGCATTCGCATCAGCTGGTACTACCGTATGACAGTAGTCACAGTTTTCGGTATCACCACATGCTATGCGCATTCTCTTGTAACGTGCACTGATAACAGACGCATGAAAACTCAATATTACACCTACGAAAGAATAAGCTTTTAATGTTGAATTAAGATGAAGTACGTCATACAACTGATACAAACATTACGCAGTCATATGGATGACATATTTGGAAATTACCATAGAACTCTCAGCAAAAGTGCATCAGTTTAAGCATCTAAACTGCAAATAAGCATACAAAGGTATAGGACAGAAAGGGAATGAAACTATGATGGACAATTAGACTAAAATTCCTAAGTATTGGTCTTATTGGGATTTCATCAATTTAAAATTAAATTCCATCATTAAATAACATCAGTTAGATAACCACTAATATCAAAACAGCAGTGGACACAAGTTTCATTTTAATTCGAGGCCCACGCATACTAGAGTTGTAGTTTACTGGTTTAGGATCTCGGCTTCCAACTACTGTGTCAAGCCTGAACCCCACTCCACCATCCGAGGTTTGGGTAGTCAGGTAGTACCACCAGCCGTCACAATAGTTGTGACTTACTCACGCTTTCTGGATAAGTGGGATGCAGGACCGTGAGGTAGTCACGTAGTTAGCGTGTTACCAACTAAATAGATATCATGGACTGGTACAATTTTTTTATAACTACACTTGACTTCGCCAACATAATCATACAGTGGACAGCATTGTTTGTCAAAAAAGGCAATACTTTGGAACGCGTAGCACATCTTACATAAATTAACCAGTGAAGAACATCTTTGTTTATCACGTCAAGAAAGGTAAAGAAGTGGATAAACAAACTATTTGACTCAACATATGCTGCATCCAACGAAGCTGTAGAACTTCACAATCAATTGGCGAAAAATGTTTCGAATCGGAACTGAGACTAAAAAAGATCTAATGATATAATTTCTTAAAATAAACAAACCTGAGAGAACCAAGTAGGCTTCAGATGTAGACAAAGCAGCACTGACCATATCTCTATCTTATGACAGGTTTTGGAATAAAGTGTACCTGAATTTTCGGAGTCACAAAGTATTTAAGTAGCTATGAAGTTTGCTGAACTTCCAATTTAGGACCACGTCCGACAAGTTACACTTCACGTAGAAACCGTTTCAGAATAGTGTATGTATTTGACAAGGAATGATGTCTAGGATGCTGTTACATTACATACTCGATCCGAAATTACGAAAAGGCGTGTAAGTGCAATGAGTTAATATCTGAAGTGATGACTACTATTGGTCATAGCGAAAGATGTACATCATTTTTGTCTCATTTTCGTAAAGACCTAGAGATAAACTGACTCTTTGTCCTTGATGCCCCAAGACGTAACTTGCTACAAGTATGAAACAACTGACTTAAAATACCTGAACGATATTGTTGGCATGGATGAAGCTCTCAAAATGTATCAGGGCTCGGTTTACACTAAGTCCAATATAATGCCACACCTATTACCAAATCCTAAATAAAAGGTATGCACATGTTATTAATTAAGAAATTAAGCATATCGTGTATTCACATTACCTCAGGAACTCACACTTATCATAACCTAATTTTATGCTTTCTTTCTTTTAATAACGACCTGAAGTGTATTCTCATTTGATGCCTCTTTTTTGTCATCAAAGAGATAATAACCGTGAAGTCCAGCACCGACGGCGGTAAAACTAAGGGGATGGGCTAAATCATGTCAACTAAAACTGAATCCAATCATCCACTTGGAGCAACTTTAGAGATACTTGACACTATCACTAAAATAAGGAGGGTTTGAATTTCAGTGTGATCAACTTCATCTTAAAATGAAACGTGATCCGGACGTCTGTCTGTCTGTCTGTCTGTTTTCGACATAGAACTTTGCACATATGTGCGGCAGTTCAAGTCGCCACAATCCATGTAGCACGCAAAGCAAGAGAAGGAAGTAGAAGAAATGCAAAATATAGACAGTAAACAGAGGTGTCAGACAAAGGAATAGTAATAACGGAGAACAAAACAGTTTAACTGGAAATGATAAGTCACAAGGAGTGGATGCATCTGCGCCACTGAGAACGATTTTGAGCCATGTCGCCAATTGTTTCCAACCATTGGTTTTTACCATCCCGAGGGCCCCAACCAGGAAGTCTACATCTTCCTACGTGGCTTAGATTAACTGTTGTGGATTTCATTGATTGGTGCCATGTTTTGGTCTGACCGCCGCTAGCTCTTTTCCAGCCTGACCCTATATCAGCTAACATTGCCCGTCGAGGAAGGCGATGACTAGGCATACGTAGCACATGTCCTAACCATCTCAGTCGATGCAATTTCACAGTCTCGTCGATTGATTTCCCCGCCTTACCTAGCACTCGACGCCTAACCTCAATATTGCTCACCTTATTATTCCACTTCACCCGGGAGATAGAACGCAGACACCTATGATCGAAGACAGCTAATCTTTTCATGTCATCTGCTCTCAATGGCCAGGTCTCACAGCCATAAAGGAGGACGGAGCGGACTGTTGAGCAGTACACACGCCCTTTGGTCGACAGTCGGACGTACATCTACATAACTATCTTACGCAAGAGTAACGTGAGCTGTTTGAAATACAGAAGTTCAGCGAATTTGTATTTTGTATTTCCATGCTTCTATGGCCATCGAAATGTTGCAACTACAACAGCTGCAATTAGGTGCAAAGTTCTACGTTCATAAGCCAGTCAGTCAGTAAAAGTAAGTGTAGGAACCACGAAATAATGCCTCATTTAAACTTACTAAATTATCTTAATTTTACCAAGTATGCTTCACAATATGACAGCTATTTTGCAATGTACGCTGAGCTCTTAATAAATATTCTGTCATCCTACCAATTCTAAGATATAAAACAGTGAAATAAAGAGGATTCGTTTACACTAATCTAACTGCTGGGAGGAACTTATGAGTTTACTTATTGATGACCAAAATAATGTTTGAAAAAGTAAGCTACTTCCCTGAAATACAACAAAAAAACCCACTGAGGCAGCACTCTAAACACGAAGATAATGAAAACAATGATATCTTATGCATTTATGTATGAGCAGTTAAATATACCATAATTTGCATTACTCGAACCCGAACTTACCAGGATTTTTCGGTTCACCTCCGAAGAGTGCTAACGCAATTCCACGTTTAATATCCTCATGACCATATACACTTGGCGCTATACTAGCAAAAATTCGATCAGCAATCCGTTCATCACGTGAAAGTTTCAAAATTGCCCTAGTATCCTCATCAGTTAACGTACCAACTGCAACCTATGGGCACGAAAGAAATCACAGCTTAAAATGATACACTTACCTTATCGTCTTTCCGGACAACGTTGTTTGCTAAAATGACAGTTGCGAAAACTGGAAAACCTTGCTTTGTGTTAAGTGATCCATCATAGCTATGCGTATATATACCTGTTAACTCCTTTTAAAATGCACAAGTAAATAATCAAAAACGCAACTTACAATTTCATCACCCGGTTTGCAGCTATCCACTAGATCATCAAGAAGAATCGCGTCTTTGGACCTAGGAAGACGACCTGCTGGAACTTTACCAGGACTTTCTTGAAGAGTAATACGCTGATAATTCTTGTAAATTGTCTGGAAAGCAAATTTATTAAATGGAACTGTCAAACTTCAAACAACTTCACTAGTTGCTAATGTAATCAAGTTCGAGGAAGAAACCAGTGAGATACAAACAGTTACCCTTTGAAGCACACCAAACGCTATGCTTGAATGAAACTCGGTCATTAATTTACAGCATGAGCAGCCCTATTGTGTTCTGTGATTACCGAGTTAATTTCAATATCAGCATACCTGTTATGTGACAAAGAAACTAGCCGAAATCAGGTAAGCAACTCGGGAATACACAAGCAAAAATACTAAGGTCCTCAACTATTGGTTTCACCACCAAGTATTTTGTAAACACTATGATTTATTCAGCGTCAGAGTACCGATATTAGCATAGAGACGATAATGGATTATGATGTATCAGAGAACTAGGAGATACCGACACGAATCAGAAAGAGCTACATGGCATTTATCCTAAATTCTTCCTGAAGCTTCTTTTTTCGAGGAGCACTTCTTTTTGAAAATGACTAGTATGCGAGAAAGTTGATGGAGGTAAATTTAGATGTTCTACATAGAGCAATAACATTAAGAGGTATGTCTTAATCTTATACTTAATGAATCATCGAAGCATAAAATAACTTAATCTCCCAATAAACTGAACCAATGAAACCCAAAATATGACCAAATTATGGGCATCTGTTTGCTCAGACTCGCTTAGACAAATGACTAGAGTACAGGCGAATCACACACGAGTCCAAAAGCAGCAAAAATGAAATGGTTACCTGCTCCATATTTAGTTCGAATGGGCCACCAGACTGACAATCTGGGCAGGTAGTTGGTCGGACCTCAAAACCAGTTTGGTTTTGGACGAAAGGACCCAAAAGGCATCTGCACTTTGTGCAATTGTAGCGGACGACACTCAACTGAGGCAGAACACCAGAACTGCTTGTCACCACTCCACATGTCCGGATAAGTTGGTTAAGATGAAAATACCGCAGACACCGAAGGTCTTCAATAAGAGGTAGGTCGTTGATCCTCACGTGGACACGATTAGTAATCCGGTCGTAACGAGGAAATCTGGTTAGTGTGACTTCGCGGGCAGCCTAGCAGAGTTGGTATAAAAGTTTATCTTACCTCGTCAAAAATCTCCAAAACATTCTGAGGAGCTTCCGGCAAAAAATACGCCAAGACTTGCTCTGCTGATGCTAAATGCTGGTAGTCAATGTGGAGACTATGTTTATTTTCTCTTGCCATCTGTATAATACGCTCGGCATACACGTTGCGATCATTTTCATCCAGGAAAGTTCTGAGAAATGCCTTAAACCGATTTTTGATTTCCTGGCGAGTAGCAGGTTGTTGGACCCACTCGACTACCGACATCCCCTTCATATCCTCCAAATTTTCAATGCTTTCTAAAACACCTGGTTCCATATCACCTTCAGCACCCTCTGCAGCTCTTTCAGCAAGCCGTCTTCGACGGACAGGGATTATTTCCTCGTCATCTTCAGCGCCATAAAGATCTAAATCCAGATGACTTGATAAAATTCACTGTCCTACCAGCTATAAGATCACGCCTAAGGCCACCAGTTGCAAGAAGGCGTTCACGGTCACGCTGACGCATTAAACGCTCAGCTTCGGCACGAGCATTAGGAGAGAGTTCTTCGAAATCCTCATCAGGATCTGCCAAACCTTCCGCCTCATAAACATCAAGTTCTGGGATAGGTCTTAAAACATAAAGAGAGAAGAGAAAGTTACCGGTAATCTCGTTCCATATCATCACCAAACAAATTTTCCCCGGACTCCTCTTCTTCATCAAGGTTATCGTCGCCCAAAATTGCAGCTGACTCATCCTCAAATGCAGCCTCCTCATGATCCGGACTTGCTGCACTTGGAAGTCCACCACGTCGACCTATGGAGCTCGATTCCTGCATACAGCCATAGCAAATTAGTGGCAACCTACCGACATTCAAAATTCCTCAACCTGGCGCCAATTATGGTCCTCGGTCTCTTCAAACTAACTGATTGGACTTCGAAATTTTAATTACTGCCACAAGCAAATGTATACCGCTCCAACGATTCACCTGTATTATAGTGATTATGGTGACTGAGCCTGTCGCCGTTCCCTTAAAACTTATCAACAAAATTGTAAGCATATCTTATCTGCTTATGACGGTTTCTAGGCTTAACATTTACCCGGAAATTAAATTTCACTCTAAAGACTGACAAAATAATTGTTTCTACAGAGAATTCCAGTATTTTTCCTTGAATGGCTATAATGCATTCTTATAATTAATTCCTTGAGTCCCCGGTGGAACACATGTCTTATGCACTCGGCTCACTACCATCTCTTTTCTCTGGCTCCAGTAGTTACTGCAATCATTTATCTCCTTCATGTGATCGTCTGTATGTCATTCTTGGACAACTTCTGGTCCCTCCTCATTTAGGTCAAGCTAGATGGCCTGGTGTGTGATTTCACCTAGATACCTCTTTAGCCTATGTCCAGTAAGTCTCCATTTTTCGTGCATATTTGTTAAGCACTATGTTCTTGGTTGATTTGCTAATAGATTTCCTTCCTAGGCGGCCATTTGAAATTCACTGACAGGAGTGAGCATATGTTGATCGAAGACTGCAATATGCTGGAGGTGATTTTCGCTATGCGACCAGTCTGTAAACAATATAGAAGGACTAACTTGACATTCACATGCAAAGTTCTGACATTAATCCCTGAGCTGAATGCTGTAGGCCTTCACAGTGATTTCATAGTACTGTTTGTTGATCTTACGATAATAACTGGCTTTGATATGATCATTTGTATCGCCTGTATTTGAAAAGATGGTGCCCAGTCTGGTAAATGACAAAGATGGGTTCTTGCAGATTCACATATTGGTGGCGATAAGTGTGGATTGCTACTTAGATATCTTCATCACCTCCATTTTCTTTATTTTCACCTGGAACCCTACCTTTACTGACTCTTGGACAAACTTTTCGGTCATCTTTCGTATATCTTCGAGTTTGGGATAGACGAGACTTGGATAATCTGAGAAGTCCACACCGTCTACGGTCTCTTATGGGTCCACCGTGTACCCGTTTCCTCAACCCTAAAAGTCTGCTGTGTGATCCTATTCAGTACAGTCAGCAAGATCTATGCCACTTAAGGAGATTTCTAGTGATCTTCCAGGCAAGTCTCCACGGTGATGTTACCAAATGTCTCCGACATTATCTCGATGAATAAGGTAAGGGCATCTATTGTATTAATATCATTAAAAAGTTTGAGCATTGTGGATTAGGTCAAATAAAGTATAATTATATTTCAATAGTTTACACACAATGATAAGTTTTGTTATTAGTAATTTTGCTCGAAATATTACCAATAACAAAACTTATCATTGTGTGCAAACTATTGAAATATAATTATGCATCTATTGTAACTTCATCCTTCATTTTCTAAGCACTGAACTTATATTTTGAGGGCTTTCAATCTGACTCTGAAGGCTCCTTATGGTGGGTAATTGTCTAAGCCACATCTTTTCCGCTGCTCTCTTGCAGGCTGCATCTCCGCCTTCCTGAGACTAAGTATATTTGATTTTCGGTGCATCCGTCAGATGAGACCCACGTCGCTTTGTCTATATCCCTGTGCCTATACACTGAATCACTGAAGTCGCAGAAGTGTGTTAAAAGTTATCCGTTCTCATTTCTTTTGCCAAGAGCCTCCTAAACCATGACGACTTCTCTCCCTCTGTTGTCTGCTGCCAGTTTGACTGGCATTCAATCACTCACTAGAATCTTTATATCGAGATTTTGGGTTCTTCTCCATCACTGTTTGCAGTTTTTTAGAAGTCTTCCTTCTTTTTGCCTGTGCTGACGGTAGCGGTGTGACGCTGTAGAGTGGCAACCTTCCTTCTGAGTTGAGTCTTACTATTATAATCCTGGAGGTTACTGGTTCCCACCACTTAGGTTCCCCCTACATCACTGGTATTTTTTAGCAGATCAAACAAATTCATGGATCAACCAAGTTTTGGACATCTCACCATTTCCAATCAGTTTATTTGTCTGCACGAATAAAGATCAGAGAAAATATCGCGAACGATCAGGCTTTTGAAAATCAAGGACATGATACTTTTATTGTGCTGTTGTTGTGCATCTCTGTGCTCCGTCTCCTAAATGCACCTTCAGACAGCCGTGACTATCGCATCCTCCATTTTCGGATAGTGTTAATAGAAATATATCCATCAGGTTGAGTGGGACAGGCTAATCACTGCCCCTGCCGTGTGACCGAAGTGCGGGTCTATCAGGAGAGACAGTCACATCTATATCTAATTGGCCCAAAACAGAGCTGGCACCAAAGTCGTCCGAGAAGTGCGACTAACTGGTCTCCTTGAGCATTAGGCATTTCGATTATTTAGGTGTCACGCATTCTATAGTGAAACTACTGAGGAGCCCATAAAGTATTACACGTTTTTTGCTCTTTCTCCGTACAGAAAACAGGGGTCTTCTACGACCTGTGATATGTGATGACTGGCTGAAATAGGGAATTTGTACATTGTGCTTATTTAAGAATTGTGTGCGTACTTCCTATTTATCTATTACATGTCGATTCTGCTGAGACCGCCTCGGCTCATTTTCTACATAATTCTTATCATGAATAGCAGGCAAAACAAATGCAAATACAATTCCCTAAATTATTTTAGATACTCACTTTCATCCATTGTTTCGATCAAGAAAATAGCTTTGAACAATATAACTCGTAGAGGTTTGATTAATGTACGCAAACGATGAACGTTACTGGGTTTTAAAATCTTGTTAAAGTTATGTTTGGTATATGTCTAAACATTGGCAAAATGAGATTTAAATTTTACAACGGGTGAGATGGACTGTTCTCTGCTACAGACAGAAGGCTGAAGAATGGGAAACCTATTATATGATGGTGTTCACATCGATGATTTCGGACTATGTTCGATGCACTGGACACGAAACACGTGTTCTTTAGAGCCTTCAAGGCAGTCCCCTTACTTGGAGCCTTAGAAATTAGTAATAAATTCCTTCATTCCAATCCCTAGTGGGAAGAAATGACGTTATAACTTCGAAAGCTCTAATTTCTTTGACGTTTCTTAATAACGGTTTGTAGAATTCGCTCAAGATGACGCTGCAGAAATAGGACAAAAAACTATGCAGCATTGATGATTATCAGTTTGATCAAATCATTTTAAAAATATGTTTATCCTTAAGTTCCGTTATTAAATATCTTAACACCGCTTGCTGTGGTCTTTTCTACTCGCTGTCTGTGATTGTACTGCCACTGCTCTGGATCCCGACATTCTGATAGTAGTGCTACCATTTACATTTGTGGTGGTCGGGCAGAGCGTGTAGGGTCTGCGTGCTATATCTTGCAATATTTAGTGCATTCTCCATGCATTCACAGAGAATCAGGACGACCCAGAGACCGTACTATACTACTTACTTTGATTCTTAGAATATTCCTATAAGCACTTTAACCCTTCTTTTGAAATTGAAATCCGCTAAGTTTCTACCAATTCCGAATGAATTATTTATAGAGGCCAATAAATCCTACTTCAAGGCCACAATACACCCTTGTTTACTACAGAGAAAGCCGTAGCAGCAAGGACTGACCTGCATGAATTACTTGATAACGTGCTTCATGTCAGAGAGGGAATTTTTATCCCTCAGTTTGGAGTTAGTGTAATGTCATTAATTCAGAAGTAAGATTAGTATGCAGTAATATTAAGAATAATCTGTGCAGCATTTGTCAGATCTAATGTAAAATACTTTATAAAAATGACTGATTAATACTCTAAGAACAGGACACGAGTCTTTAAAAGAATATAAAGTCATAAGCCAAGTCAGACAATAGTATCTCCTTATGAGAAGAACATGGAGCGTTAATACCTCTTGCTATTATCATACTAAAGGAGCAGAATTGACTTAACCTTGTCATACCGAATATTAAAGGGTGATTTGGGAATCGCTCTTCCTAACCTCTCCTCTCTTTCTAGGATACCCTTGAAAGGTTATCACAAAATGATGCTAAAACCATAAGCGAATAAAATACATATGGAGTTCAGATTCTCACATGATGTGATGAACAGCTTGGACTCCCTACCCGATCGAGCAGTATTAGTTCCATTAACGAACACTTTCAAAGGAAAATCAGATCGCTACGGAGATATATACATTACAAGGATTGACATTTATCTGAATCTAAAGTCAACATGAGTACGAATGTAATGCATACCACGACACCTCAGTTCAGCCTTTAAAATCCCAGGTATGGGATAATCCAGTCCCCTGAGTATTATGAACGTTTCATAAACTATTATTAATTTTATCTCCTGATTTAATCCTAAAAATACCCGTGTTCTGATAGTTTGAGAATCTCATCTGTGCATAGCAATCGCTTTTGGCTTCTGACGCTGTAGTAATACATGAAAACTTTGAACTTTTATGATTGTTAGGAGTTATCTTATTATTGGCCATATCACATCTACTGAACCGGGGAATTTGATTCAAGGTCAGTGTTGCCGAGACAACCCGTAGGTGTTTTTTTACTGCTAGTTGTTGTCGCTTTGAAGTCGGCTCTTCTTGCACTAAACCAGTAAAATAATTTCAAAATTTCTGTATGAGGTTGTGACAGTTGTCACGACACCATACTATGAGCGTGTGCGTTAGAGTAATCAATTAGTTAATTAACTTTTATTTCGGCGAAGTTAGACTGTCATAGCCAAAATCCGTAAATACTTAATCTCGCGCATGATATGGTTTCTCTATGGATTGTCCTCGGCGTAACTGGGAGACATTCTGAGAACACAAGAGGTGATTTTACAGCGCAATATGTTTGTAATATGGTTCAGCACACTTTTCTAACGATTATGCCACTTTTTGGATCTGAATTCTCATTTGTCGCTCAAGGTCCACGTGGGTTTGGTTATCATAGATTAACTTCACTTTTCTCTCCATACTAGGACTAACCTCAGAACTATCCGTTAATTTCTACCTCATTAATGTATCTCCTTTACGTAATTTAGAATTCAGTGATTGGTATCTAAAACTGAGTCTTTGTGGTGTCTTTGGGGACATTCCTTCTGTTGCTATGGAATTGTAATGTATATTTATATATGCGACTGTACAGCTCTAGAGTGATATTGCTGAAAAGAGTAGCTATTCCATAAACACCTCTTGTTCCATATTTTCTTGTCTACGTCTGATTATTCCTACAGTACACAATAGTAACGCCTGTGACTTTCTTTTTCATGTCGTTTGTAGTTCGTTTTAAATTCCAATTTAATACTGACTTAATATATCATAGATTGTCCCTCGTAAAAGTTATAGTAGTAACGCTTCTTCTTGCCATTTAACGTTTCAGCTCACATAGCTACTTTAGCTTCTAAGTGGATTACCAGTTGTGTAAATTCTGAATTTAAGGATCACTTATGACTATAAAAATGTTGAATTATACTATCTTTGATCAAATTTTGCGTGCTGACCAGTTAGTTGTTTCGCTCGTGACATGCAGATAGCCTAACATGGATATTGGTATGAGTTGTAGGTGCTTAAGTAAAGCAGTAAGATGTCATGAAGTTTTTGTTTAGATAGATCGGACTAAAAATATTCTTTCTTACTAGTGCTGCTTGGATATATGCAGTAGGTGCATTTCGGATGAATGAATGTGACAATAGCCGTATTGCAGATGAGATGATAATAACGAAGTAACCAAGTAACGAAATTTCAGTTCTGTGTGCTTAAATAGCTTGCAGATAAGTATGGGTCTTAATACATTATAGAGCATGTCTTTAGATAATATAAATGTGTAGTCTTTTTTAAGGTTCTCCCGTGTTTAGCTCTATAGTTAAAACGGTTACTGCCTCAATCGATTCCTTAAAAGTCGGGAGCTTAGTAGTACATTACTGGCGTAGAAACAAAGTAGACGTTGCGCGTTTTGTTTTCACCACTTACGTGTGTTTTTCCAGAAACTGACTTAATGACTGTAGTTCTTATATTTCCCTTGTATTTTCTTTAGGGCTTTCTTGTCCACTAAGTCTCTAGAAAAAATACGTAGCTAGAAAAGACAGAAAAATGTAGGAAACCGATAAAGTACATGAAGACGGGGGGGGGGGAAGTTAGGACTGAGATAACTGTTTACAAATTAGAGTTACTAAGTGGCTAAAGTACCTTAATCATCATACCTGCTTTGACCACCTGTAAAGTTAAAACGTTTTCGTGACAACTGAGGAATTCAACCTAAACGTCTTTTGGTATTGAGAAGTATAGTTACGTTTTGCTTAGAAGACAACCTGTCCTCAAGTCTGCCTGTTTCTAGGTTCATTTTTCCAAGTTTGATTAATCACCATCGGCATATAAGTTTATGAGCTATGGCGTTTTTGAAATAATTACACACTAGCGTGAAACATTTTAATAAAGGTACAATCTAATGTCATTTCTACTCATCCTTGACTTCAGATGAATACATATTTTCGGCTGTATATATTAAATATATATTAAATTAAATTTCTGTATATATATATATTAAACTAATAAATAAATTAAATTAAAAATGTTTATTTCAGAATATAAATCTTAGAGTACAGTCTTCTTCGTACTTCCATCATGTAAATATAACGTATGGATATAGTTACTCGCCATCTACTCGTACCATATCAAAACTTACAATATAAAAATGACCAGTAAATCAAGTATTTCCAAGTGAGTGAAGTATTGATTTTAGTCATTTCTAGTAATATCATTGTTACCAGTTCTTCTGGTACATCGCTCGAGGAGCAGCGAAGGAGATTTGAAAGTACTCAGCTAAAACTGCAAATGCTATCTCTGAAAACAGAGGAAATTCAGATCGATGATTATATAAAGAAGCTCGCTCTGGATACTGATTTTGTCACAAATAAAACTGGTATGCTGTAGTCACTACGTTATTCCGTCTCTAGATATTAAACCAAAGTTTAGAGAAAGTTCATTTGCAGACGCTGATGTTTCTCAGACTGGCAGTCAGGTTTGTCCTGTTTTTTCTCTATACTTATATGGTAGTTCTAACTGATGTTTCAGTGATGTTTCGTTTCAACAGAAATCATAATTATATGTATTTTATGTTGGTTTTATTTCGGTATATATTGAGTCGTTTTAACATTAGTTTTGTGCATCTCATTCTTAGTTCTTAATGGCAACAGCTGTTAAATGTTTTAGCATAATGGTTTATTTAGTAGGAACCCTTCCATTAATCGGCTGAGGACGTCAAAAATTATCCAGAAATGTTTTATATTAAACTAGTTTCTAAATCAAAGGTTTCATTTTACCTTTTCACATCTCGTGGGTATATATTCTACTTATGTCATCATTGTTCTTTTTACTTCATGTTAGATTAATGAGAAACAGTTTACTTTCGCTCTTTTGAGGAATTTTAACGGGTTAAATTAGTTCTTATAAGTTATCTTGGTGTATTACTGTCTGTTTTGCGGATTTCTCCATGTGGTTTTCATAAATTTGTAACATTTAAGGTAAGAGAATTGCTAAATGAAAACGTGGCTAAAGGTTCTTGCAACACTACACCATTAAGAACATATTATTGACACAATAAAAACAATTCGGAAAGGAAATAAACAGGTTTTTTCTCTTTAAAGTACCAAAGAACTATTTTAAATTGACGGAATTGGAAATAACTCCATTATAGATAAGATTTTATTTTGATAAATCACAGTGTTGTGCAATAATATTAACTGATGACGTTTCGAGCACAAACTATTGCTCATAATCATATCATAATTTGCAAATTTTCATGGGACTTGGCGTTCACAATAGTGTTACCATATTAATTGAAGGTCACTGACATTGAGTCATGTAGCTCTCAAGCCCTTACAAATTTATTCTATTTTTAATGTTCTGCAATTTGTAAACTAACCTTTTGTGTTTGTATCAGTGTTAATTAGATATGTGGTTCACAGAAAATTTGTTCAATTTTTCTCCCTGGTTAATTAATTATTTTTCAAAATTTCAAGTGAACACTTTTGTATTGTGTTTCAAAGCACTGGAAGTATCAGATGTCATAAATTTATGCAAACGATAATGCAATTAAAGTAACAGTATAAATTCCCTTCTTAAACCTAGCTGTATCATTGGGGTGCTGTTTCCAATCAGTCTTCTGGGGCATTCTTGAATGAACCAGTTGGTGATAATCATTCACATTTACTTGACTTGCCGGACGTTGGATATTTGAATCCTGCCAGTTCTTTACCAGTCAGACCCACAAAACCATCTTGGTTGATGAACATTTCCTCCCTTCCACCTATCTATGGCGAAGCTATTCGTGCTGCTACAACAAAGTATGTTTAATATGTAATTGATTAGATCATTGTGTTGTCATGTTTATCCTGTAGACTGATTATTGTTAATAATAATCATGTTATTAATGTCTAGTGACATAATGTACTGAACAAGTTCAGGACTTCTACAGACTGACTGATGTTAGTAAAGTAAGACATGTTTTCATGAAGAATATTTTTCCAGTGCCTTTTTAGCATCACTTCTAATTATTAAGTAGTATAGTTATATTCAGCTAAGCTGGCTGGAAGTGATGGCAAGTGGCCGAGTGTAATGAAGGCTTGCCTCCGTGGTCCTATGTTCAACTCGGAACGCTAAGAATAAATAATAATGTTCGAAAACACTTCAAAAACATTTCTTTTCTTTGGTAAATTTAAAATTAATGTGAGAGATGGAGTATTTAATAAATTCATAAACTTCAGTAAGACTGGTCAGCTGAATGTGATATATTTATAACAATTTGTATTAAATTTCTCATTTAACATATTTGGAAACAAATGTGAGTCTAGTAAAAACAGATAATTAGCAATTTCAACTGTAATAAAATTTACAGTTGCTGTAGTAGAAATAATAAGGACAATGCAAATCTAGACTGTAGAAAACATTGATATAAGGGGAAATTTTATAACCTTTGAACTTATTTGAACTATTAACCAGTTAACCAGTTAAATCCTCAAATAGTTTTAAGTTTGTTTGATAACCTATTACTATCGAATTCGGAATGTGCGCCCCCTTGTGAGTTTAAGGTAATATGTGTAGGTAACATTTTATGATATGCAATAATAATTTAAAATCCGGAAAGTTTTCAGGTGACTTTTATTTTCGCCATTCTAACAGTACTTGCAGCGGGGAGTGGAAGAATTTATGAGCTCATTAGGTACTGCTTTTTCAAATCTATTGCTTACGTTTTTGTGGGAATTATTTTTGAATTTCCTGTCGATTGATTTTATCGAACGAAAATGTTCAGTCTCCGTTGACATGTTGGCTCCTAGTACAAATATTTGTACAGTGGCCTAAAGTTATTTCTTCCTGGATTCCACTGCTAGCCATCATCAACCAAATAACATCATATTGCTTGCTTCATTCTTTACATACGTTTTTATTACTTGGAATTAGGCAAATCTGTTCACTTTGATTTATTGACTGTATTACTAAGCTAAATTATCTTTTCTTCAATACTATATGTAGTCTATTCAGTAGCATTTATAAAATAGTTGACCATCAGTAAAGTCTCTCCGTTTTTTGAGCCTAAAAAGCCGAAACAGTTAAATGAAATTAAACACCATAGGATACCTTGGTAGTTTTTAGATAAAGTTCATTTCGATGTGGCCATAAATACGAGAGATGAGTAACTAATAATTTGGGTAACAATGCATTGAGTTCAACTCTAATCACAGAAACACGAGACAAGCAAAATTACATATCAAAGCGGGTGAGGTTAAAGCCAAATATTAAGTAATCAAATGAACGAGAGAGTAAAGATATCCAGTTACGCAGGCAAGGAAAGACCGATAACTGCTTCTTTAAGAACTCATAAATCGGATTTCAGGCGTTTGATGGAGATTGTTTCGGCAAACTTGAGGAGAATTGAACTCTTTTGTCTATCGATAATTTTAAAGGATTTCGCGACTTCCACTTCATGACCCGTACCAAGGAAATGCCTGGCAATGGTACTATTGGAGGCGTTTGTTCCCTTCAGACGTAGGCTTTTCGGTACACGTTCAGAAAATTGAAGGTATGAACTTCTTTCTGTTCTTCCAATGTAACTGTTTCCGCAGATACATGTGAATTTGTATACACAGTTAGAGTTAACATGAGAAGAGTATCCGTCGACTTTTGGTTGCCTCAAAGAGCATGTTGTCTGATAGATGAGGATCAACTTAGCTGCACGATAGGCTCTGTTGACTATTCCTGAAGTATTTTCACCTTTAAAATCGAGTTGAATGAAGACAGACTTTTTCCCCATTGTGATTTGTTTGACATTTGAGCCTTCGCATCTTCCGTACTTGTTAATGAATCTCTGAGGGTAACTGTTGTTTTTCAACATCTTTTCGAGAATACATTTTAATAGTTTCTGTCCAAATAGCTATAAACGGGCACTAGTCAAGACTCTGTACTATAGCGCTAAGAAAATATGGTCTACAGAGAAATTAGAGGAAGAATTTATGATTGTCGTAACTGGATGTCTTTACTCTCTCCTTCATTTGATTACATAATCTTTGGTTTTAACCTCACCCCCTTGGATATGTAATTTTGTTTGTCTCTTGTTTCTGTGATTTGAGTTGAACTCAGTACATTGTTACCCAAATTATTAGTTACTCATCTCTCATCTTTATCGCGTAACTCCTTTGCCATTGTGTCCACACATTATTTTTTGTTCAAACTTGAATTCTCCATGCGAAAACTATATAAGCGTAATCTTCTGATCACTACTCACTAAGTCGAGAAGCTCCTGTCAACTGACACCATGCAAAATTTGCAAGTATGTTAAAACTTTTCTCTATATAAACTCAATAATAATTCAGACTGTAAGCAGCTGATGAGGAGCCGACGAAATAATTAACGGCACCATCTTATTTTGCACAAACTGTTGTTCTTGCTTTATTCAAATTGATAAAGGTGAATAAATGTATGGAGATAATATACATGCTGATCGAGTAAAGCAAGGCGATACACCGTCGAGGAGATCGGCCACAAGCTAGCAAAACAGCTGTCTGGTTTTATAATCACTTTCATCTGGTTAGCAAACGCCATCGTTTGACACTAGTGATTTCCAGTTACTCCTGCTGAACAGCACTATATATCGTCTTGGTGTATTTACTATTTCCATCCTGCAAGTAAATGATTATCAGAACAAAGAACTACCGGACAACTAAGACAATTCATGTGTTTTAAAAAAAATGAAAAACCGTATTGTGTGTGTATAGATGATGAGATCAATAATTCAAGAAAATGACGGAATATACAGTCAATAAAAATAAGGTCATTAGGTAGTCACTGAACTTTTACTAATTACTAGGAGGCTGCATTTCTGTCTTATTTTACAGCAGCCTTCCACAGAATTTTTCCTGTAATTAAGCCTTTGGTAACTTGAATCAAGTATGGCAGTTAAAAACATGCTATGCAACTCTGTAACCACTAATAAGTATATGTCTTCAGCCATATACCAGAACAATTTATGCTATCCATCTGTCGAAATTTCTGCAGATAAAGTATGTGAGATACTTTTGTTTTCTTGTATAACACCCGACCGATAGCTGTTACCTTGACGTGGTGGTCGGGCTTGCACATCGCAATGACCCAACAAGCTGCACTGGCTGAAACCAATGTTCCTGCAGGTCCTACCATGCCAGGAAGGTTGTTAGGATAGCGATTAGACTAAAAGCAGTTACCGGCATTGTGTAAGAATCTTTCTTACACTATGCTGGGGGTCTGAGGGCGAAGTCGTACTGCTGGGGAATAGGGGTGTAACAGCAGTGAGGTGTTTCCCTCAGATGACCAGCATGCCAGCCAAGCTGTCTCTCCACTCCGGAGAGAGGGGGTTAGAAAAGGTCGACCCCGAAAATTGTACATCCTGACTTACTCTACGGTGGTCCGTAACCGGCGGTAAGTTTACTAATACGGAACCAATCCCAGAAACCAGTTCATACAGGCCGTGTGTGACCGGCCTCAAGTAGTTGTCCCCTGGGCTCTGAGGTCACGCAACACTAACCCTCTTTCTGTTTCAGGTACCCGAAGAATCAATCAACTTCCACGGTGTGGGCAGCCGGGAAGTAACAACCGCCCACACACTTCCAAAAGCACACGAAGCCTTCCTGAGCATCATTCTCCTTTACTCATATCTTGTATAACATTTATCATCTGCAAATACACAGACCATAGCTACTATTTAGTATTCCCATTGAAAATTAAACTTAGTATTCTCTGCTTAATCACATTATCCGTTATGAGACAAGTACATCTAACTAATAAATTGGCATATTAACTAGTGCTAGAGTGCTAGTTTCTATTAGCGTTACAATTAAATAAGTATATGTATGGTAATCTTTCTAAGACACTACTACTCAGCGTTGTTAAATTTTACTATTGTCTAGCTGATATTCAGTACGCCTATTTCAGTATTTTCATCTGACTCACTATATATATATCCAAAGTTTTAAAATGTCATCGGCTGATGCTGTTGCTGATAAAAAGAACATGTTATAGCATGTATATACATATAGCAATAGCCGCTGCCAACACACAAGCTTTTCATGCTAAGGTTAACCTGTTGATGAATAATAAATCAATGTAATTTTTATATAATCCTCTAATAAAGTCATTTGTTTTCATTACATTACTAATAGTCTGTTCCTATATACTAGTCCAAATTATGCTAATAAGATAAATTAGAAATGGTGAAGTTTGAATCAATTAATTATTTGTACTATGAATTATTCTATACTACAACCTTTATTGAGTTGTACACTAGATTAAAAAGAAAAGAACTGTGTTTTCATTTTAACTTACAGATATTAGATTGTCTTACTTTGTAACTTGATACGCCTTACAGAAAACTTTACTTTGAATTAGTATGGATACTTTTTTGCCTGTGCATGTTTTCTTTCTTCAGTAAATGATCTCTAAACCACTGTGTTAAGATGACTAAAATAAAATGATCTTAAAAGAAACCGGGGTTTGTATACAAATACCAACTACTAGTTTAGTTATATCTGTATCAAAATATTTTGGAAATATTAATTACGATGAAATATTTATGTTCATACAAAATGTTCCCTTTATCATTTATGTCGAAAGCAAGAAAAACAAAATTTTTGGAGTACGAAATGCGCACATTCTGTTTCGAGGCCTTCCTTCAACATGCAGACAGTTTAAAATATGCATAGTACTCATGTATATTTTCTACTCTATTAGCAGAAGTTTGCCATAAGGAGAGTAGCCTAAGGGAAAAAAGCAATGGATGATGGTTGGCATCATCGGTTACCAATAACACGGCAAGAAATTAGTTATTTTACCAGAAGTTTGGGGGGGGGGTGGTTCGAGATATTTTAGCAGTTGAATGCACAGCAAAAAGACAAACTGAACTGCAATATACAGGAGTCGAAGGGAGACAGATTACGTAATAACATACAGATTAACATATAGAAGTGATTTGAAAAGGGAAAAGGAGCTAGAACTAATCACTACCCCTTTTTGTCGCCACAAGTTTAGTCTAAGTGTCTTGACAGTAATATATTTAGCAAATCGAAGTGAAGTTGAATTTCTTCATTCGTTTTATACTGCAAATTTTATCCTTTTTGCCTTTGATGAATAATGCTATTGAGAAGCCTAATCGTATAGGATGTTAGGCAGGCGTTCGTGTAAATAGCATGTTCTGAAAGAAGCTAAACACAACATTGTGGTTGGCGTTAAAAGTCGTTATGCTAGCCATACTTGGCGTATGAGATAGAAACAAGAATTGCACGAAACGTAAGGGTTATGAGTAATGCACTGTTTAATAGAAAATCGTCAGAATTGGCAGTATCTCAAAGATATATGATTCACTGAACATATTCTTTTTCGTCAATCCTAGTGAGAGATCATTTGGTTCCATTGGTTAGCATTCTGTCGCGTTACTGTGGTGTTTATACACTTTACTTTTAGGGCGAAAACTGTTTTTTATCATAGTTAAATAGTTTGATATTAAACTTCACAGGTTTTCTCAACATGGTATTTTGTATTATGTAAATCTGCTGAATTCTATTAACCCGTTTCATCTTCACTTTGCATCTACTTATTAAGCTTAAAATAACTTGTTACTCAATTTTCTCTTCTTACAGTCATGGTCTTGATAGTTCAGTGATTTACGAAATTTTTCGTTCATCCAATTTGAGTACGGAAGTACTGTATCACATTTGGTCTCTTACAAGCTGCACCCAACCTGGTTGGTTTACTCCAACTGAGTTAGTCACTGCATTGGCTCTAATCGGTTTAGCACAGCGTAGACAGTGGGAGGTGCATTCAACTTCTATCTCTGATGCCATTAGTATACAGTCAGTCTATGAGCAAATATGCCCTCCTGTCCCTATGATCAAAATCCCTAATAACAACAAACAGTCAAATTCTACAGACATGGCTCTTGGATCAAAATCAATTAGTCAAGAAACAGTTGCAAATGAGTTTCAGAATTCAGTTGTTTCAGAGTTTTCAAAATTTCCTTTCCAACCTCCAGTTGTAGCATTTTCCGCATTTCCTCAGCAATTGGATATTAGTAATACGTCACAAAATCAGTCGGCGCAATCGGATTCCAAGACAAATAATTCTTTTATGCATTTCACCTCTTCAACATCCCCAATTGTAGATGATCCTGAATGGTCCGACTTTACCTCCTTTAGCGGTTCCGTAAGTTCTCTCTAAGTCTTTATCTGCGTTTGAAAAGCATACTTTTGAGGAATTTTAGGTTTGTTTGTTTTTATTCGAAATGTAATCCGTTGCTATAGCTTGTTATGTGTAATGCCTCATTTGCTTAATCTTTTTAATTCTACAGCCCTTCCTAAGAACTATTTTGTCACAATTCTCATTATTATTTCAAAAAACCATATACATATATATATATATACGGTTGTACAACTGCATGATAAATTCGTTAAAGAGTCTCTTCGCTGAATTCCCTGTTTTCATTTTCCACATACTTTACAAATATTCAAACCTTTTGATAGTAAACACACTTGTTAGGATGCTGTATAAAAATTCCTTTCATATTTTATTATCAGAAACTATATTCCGAATTCCTATCTAGGTATTGTTTTTATTTGGCTTATAATGTCCACCAGCGTAATCTAGAGTGCACATTTCATAACATCATATTGATCTTCAGGCGTCCTTACTAGGAGCCGACATGTCAATAGATGCTGAACATTTCCGTTTGACATAATCAGTCAATGTGAAATATAAATTAGATTTCATTTGAATAAAGAAAGAACGAACATATTCGCAGGATAATGCGAGTTCGTTTTATTTCGTGGATTCTCTTCAACTGCGTACATCCTAAATAAATCAGTTATAAGTTAAAAAGTTTCTGAACATACTTTTTACAATGATTTCAAGTTATAGATAGAAAGTACGGACAACATAATTTCAAAGATGATATAAGTAGACACTTATGTAGTGTTAAAAGAGTAATTATTTATATATTAATTAGACAAGAGGGTGGAGTTCAGATTTCGCTTGGAAACAAGAATGCACTAGAGACCATTTACAAGATAGAACAAGAGAGTGAATTTATACATATTATGGTGGAGAGTTCAGGAGGGTGGAGGTGAATAGTGAAGTAAAATTATAAAATAGATAAAATAATTTAATTTAGTAGATTTGGAACCTTAATAGTGAGTTCAACTCAGTGAGTGAAAATCAAAATCATGATTGAGTGGAATGTTATGCAACAGAACAAAAACACAAAAGCACACGAACACCATAACTGTTTATGGTGTGTGTCTACTTACATCATATCATCTTTGAAATTATGTTGCCCATACTTTCTATCTATAACTTGAAGTCATTGTAAAAAGTATGTTCAGAAATTTTGTAACTTATTTAGGATGTACACAGTTGAAGAAAATCCACGAAATAAAACGAGCTCGTATTATCCTGCAAATATGTTCGTTCTTTCTTTATTCAAACTAATAAAGGAAACCGGCTGTATGAAACAAATTAATTTAAATTGGTGTTGTTTTATTGATTGTTTTAATAGTTCAGTATTCTTTTTAAAATGGAGATGTAAAAATTATTCACATAAAATGTAACATTACTGTGTAATGGTTCATACTATCATACCTCATGTCTGCACATCAAGTAGCGTGTAAGAGACGGACAAAGAAACGAAGAGGATATAAGTGGAAAGCAGAGTGTGCTGTAGAAAAATGACGGAAATCTAACGCAAATAAAGAAATACTATGATATATTGTTGTGTTGCTCTATTTGACCAAACTAGCGTACACGTATATCCTAGTACACCTTCGCGTTTATTATTGTGTCCTAACGTTGTGATTACTCAACATCCACAACGTAAATCAAAAGGCACTTGAAAAGGAGTACGAACGTGTATTCTCGCAGTAGTCAAAATTCAAAAGTTGAGCGAGTACAATGTATCAATTGTGTTATCATGCAATCTTTAGAGTGACAAACAAATCAAAATCCAATTACATAGTGAAAGTATAATACGATGATGAATAATAAAATGGGTCACTACAATATTCAAGACAGAGATAAATTAGTAGTCCATCTGCACCAATGGGATCGATGTAGGTAGAGCCGCATAATCTAAAGTTTCTATCCATTTCCTTACATGAATTTTCGCGCCAGACAATCGAGTAGCTGATATTTCAATTTCTAACTGGCGAATATTATCAGAGCAAACTTCAGAATCGTTCTAAAGTGGTTTTACTGAGTAGTCCAATGACTTGAAAATGAATTGGTTATTCGTATTATTTACTTAGTTATTAGTGTTCAGAAAACTTGTAGTTTTAATGGTTTTCAATCAATCAGTTGGGCTATTCGTATTCCCTTAAACTATTAAAAAAATGGATAAGCATAGAGATTACCTCTTTCGAACATAGGTAAAAGTAAGAAATCCAGAAGTGCTTTAATGATGGAAATCAGCTGCTTGAGAAATTCTTCATAGACACTAATCTGCATAGTCATCTCATTCTTATCAGTCATAAATTTGAATGTGAAATGCCTTAGACAATATGATTTTCTCAACAGTCGTATGTTTTAATTTTGAACTATGCCGTGCGAATTTCCGGGTGGGAGAAACACATCCTGGCTTTAAGTGAATGGTGTATTTTTGTTCTGGTTGTTCTTCCATTTGGGATATAGGGTAAAATTCCAATCGCTCCGTATGTCGTGACCACGTTTAAAATCTCTCACATTTTCTGTCCTACACTTCGAATTCATATCAATTCAGTTAGACCATATTTGTTTTTCATGGCTTCTGTCTTTTTCTAGTCTTATACATTAGGAAATGAAGAAAGACCAGATAAAAGAAAGCTTACCCCCTAGCCTATGATCAGAGTATGAAAAACATTTACTCTATTGGGCGTTTTATATCTTATCAGGCAAAAAGTAATATTGCATTAGTTTATGGTTAATCATATTGATTAGAATAATTTCTAGTTCAAATCAGTTTGATGAATACTAAATTGATTCGCATGCTTTCACATATGTTTAACTTAAAGCCTTTGAAATAAACTTATTCTACAGTCTGAGGGTTAGTCTACATCCATTCCATCTGTTCTCGCAGATTCCCAGCACTTCTATACCCATATCTTCTCATTTCTTTGGTTACCCAGTTTCGTACATTGTACGAACATTCCACGTCCCCATTCTTATTCTTGCTTTCATCGAAATAAGACACATCAGCTGACTGGCTTCCCGAAGGCTTTCATCATCCCGCTGTGTCATTTCGCCTCTCCGATTCCAGCGAAGAATAAGTTTTTTCAATATTTTTTGTATTTTTAATATTCTTGTTTTGCGCTGAAATTTCTGTAGCGGTTTGATTAGTTTTCCGGGGTAGGGTCGCTGGCCCCGCGCTTAAGCCTCCCTCTTCACCCGGGTTTGGGACCGGCTAGAAAACTAGCGAGCTAGTAAACTAGGCGAGATGTGAATTTGGGTCAAATACTCTTTTAGTTCTTTCATGCTGTTGCATCGTGTCTCTATATTGTGCAGCAGTTCTATTAAGCTTCCCATTTTCTTCCAATACACATTTTATACTTATTTGAATTTCAGGTTGCCCCCCTTGAAAAGGATATTATGAAGAATGTTCCAGTTGTTGTTAATGGTCAAAAGACACCAGTAACCAAGTAAGATACATAATACTACTGTTATTCCTTCCTATTAATTTGAATAAATTCATAAAATTTTGTATTATTCCACTTATTTCAGTGGTTACTGGCCTCATCCCTTGTTCAGCTAATGAATAAGCTAAAATCTTGAGATATTTTACTTGCTTTTAATGAATCGATCCAAGTACTTGTGTCTCACATATTTACAGTCAAATATTTAAGTTTACAGTGACGCTGAAGTAATTAATGGTTCAGTTGAGCAGACAAATCTTATGAAAATGATTACCACAATTTATTCTTGTGTTTATTTCATTCATTAGAATGTAGTTATTTTCTTATCCAGTGTATATTAAGTGAAAATTATTAAATTAATAAAATATTGACTAAAGGTTTAAGGAAAATTAACTTATTTTTATCTAAGTTTAAAACATGCTGCCATTGAAAATTTTACTCCAACTTTCATTCACACTGATTACACTAATACTAGTCTGTTCACAAAATAAAAGTTATCCAGTTGTTTTCACTCATAAGCATTAGATTATAGATATGCCTTTTTGTTTGACAACATAACTGAATGAATAAAGCAAGAACAACAGTTTGTGCAAAATAAAATGGTACCATCATTTATTTTCGTCTGTCTGACACCATGCTCTTTAGTGCAATCAAAAGTCGACAGATACCCTTCTCATGTTAACTCTGTGTATAAAATTTACATGTATCTGTGGGAGCAGCTACGTTAGAAGAACAGAAAGAAGGGTATACTTCTGATTCTCTGCACGTGTATCAAAAAGTCTACATTTCAAAGGAATGCTTTCAACAGTGTCATTGCCAGGCACCTCCTTGACACGGGTCATGAGGAGAACGTCACAAGATCGTTCAAAATTGTCAACAGATAAAAGAATTCAATTCCCCTCAAGTTTGCCGAAACAATCTCTATCAAACGCCTGAAACCCGATTTGTGTATTCAGAAAGAAGCAGTTATCAGTCTTTCTCTTTTCTTGTCGTGATAACTGAATATTTTCATCCTCTTTTTCATTTGATTACGTTACGCCAAAGATTTCCATTGTGTATGATTAATATTGTTTGAGACCCCTAGATTAGAAATAGGAAGTGAAGTGGTAGAGCACGTTGACCGCTTCACTTACTTAGGAAGTACCATCAGTCCCAACGGGTTGATCTCCGACGAAATCTCAGCACGATTACAGAGGGCTAGTTTCGCATATGCCAGTTTACGCCATCTCTGGCGTAGACGTGATATCCGACTATCGACCAAAGGGCGTGTGTACTGCTCAACAGTCCACTCCGTCCTCCTTTATGGCTGTGAGACCTGGCCATGGAAAGTGGAAGACATGAAAAGCATGACAAGCTGTCTTTGATCATAGGTGCCTGTGTTCTATCTCCAGTGTGAAGTGGTATAATAAGGTGAGCAATATAGAGGTAAGGCGTTGAGTTCTAGATAAGGAGGGGAAATCAGTCGACGAGGCTGTGAAATTACATTGACTGAGGTGGTTAGGACATGTGCTACGTATGCCTAGTCATCGCCTTCCTCGACGGGCAATGTTAGCTGACATAGGGTCAGGCTGGAAAAGATCCAGCGGCGGTCAAACGAAAACATGGCACCAGTCAATGAAATCTACAACAGTTAGTCTAAGCCACGTAGGAAGGTTTAGACTTCCTGGTTGGGGTCCTCGGGACGGTAAAAAACCAATGGTTGGAAACAATTGGTGACATGGCTCAAAATCGTTCTCAATGGCGCAGATGCATCCACTCCTTGTGACTCATGATTTCCAATGAAACTGTTTCGTTCTTCGTTAGACAAAGGAATAGTAACTATTCCTTTGTCTGACACCTCTGTTTACTGTCTATATTATGCATTTCTTCTACTTTCTTCTCTTGCTTTGTGTGCTACATGGAGTGTGGCGACTTGAACTGCCGCACATATGTGCAAAGTTCTATGTCGAAAACCGACTGACCGACCGATTATTGTTTGGGATGAAGTCATTATTATTACTACTATTGTATGCATACATTGACTTATTGTTTAAAATTGAACTCTGTTCAAGTATGTTAAAATTGTTTCTATAGATAACCTTAATAATGTCTTTGGGTTGTTAGCAGCTGATGAGAAGCCAACAAAATGTATGATGGTACCATTTTACTCTGCACAAACTTTTGTTTTTACTTTATTCAAATTCATAAAGGGGAATAAATGTATGAAATAACTGAATGAACTGGCGGACAGTTTTCCTGTCTTCTTTCTCTTTTCTGTGCCTTCTAAGTGGAACACATAAGACTTCAAGCTTGAGCTTTGAAATTCCAGTAGCAGTGGTGTTTTTTCCCATGGGATGGGGTGGTCAACCTCTCCTTTTTACGGGGCTTACTACTGGTTAGGCAAAACATAGGGCTTCGTCGACCCGGGTTAGCCCCGTATTCTTAAAGTTCTAGGTTCAATCCGCAGCGGGGTCATGAGTGTGTACTGATGATGAGTCCTAAACTAGGACAAAACAGCTGTCCAGTACTCCCTGGTTTTCAGTAGTTCCCTTAATGAAGTCAGTTCGTGATTTTAATTAAAATTAGTCGTGTAACTAAAACTGCTGATTAATTTATTTACTTTTAAATGAGTTATGCATAGTGCATTATTCAACCGTAATTGATAAACATTGTCTTATATATCTTAGGGACAATTTTATAGTGTTATCGTCAATATTCTAAAAGATAAACTTTAAGCCTAACAGGTAATGGATATCATGCGAGGCGAAAATTGTATCCTGACAACATTATTTCCCTTCACAGTATATACAGTCATTAACTGTGTACAGATTAATGAAATGCTACTATTCTGCGTGTTTGGGAACTCTCTTATTCTATATCTACTTTAACTAATAGGATTAATTTGTGTCAGCCGGTCAGCTAAGTGATGATTGTTTAATTCAACTGTCCTACGTATACCTTCACCATTTTTCTCCTAGTGCCTATCATTAACCTGGAAGTCGAAAAATGTACTGTTTGTCACACGCACAACATTTAATACTTAAGCGACAAATAAATAAATAGTGCTCTAAATGCATTTTCAAAAAAAGCAACAAATTAAGTTTTTCTGCTTTTGCTATCTTTTTTTTTCACTATTTATTTTAATAGTGTAAATAATACTTTGTTTGATGAAGAATTTGGAGAATTTCAAACTAGTCATTCCAATGATTCAATGAAACCTATTGAATTTCCCAATGCATTTACTCATCATTCTAATTCATTATTCTCTTCATCAAATAATCATGCACCAAAATTATCATCGTCAACAGAGAAAATTGTTTCTTATGATCTTGATCCTATCGATATACAGGTGAGATAAACTTTGATTTAACACTTTCTAAACATTTTTTTAATCATTTCTGATTAAGATAAAACATAGTTTATCTATTAAGGAAAAATCTCCCATACATTTTCGTTCATTGCAATTTTGTTATACTTCTTCCCTCTGCCTTCAATATATACTTTCGTGAAGGGTGGCATCTTGAATTGATGCTGTTTTGTGGAAAATCCTGCCGTGTTAATTCAATCAATCAGTCTGATAATATTGTTAAATGAGGACATTTTTAGAAGAATATTAGTTCGTTCTATGATATTCTCGTTTAAGTTGGGAAGGTATATTATATATATATAAACTTTTTGGTTACATTATCCATCTAAAGAAAAGCAGAAATTCCATATTTATGATGTCAAAATAAATATCATTGGCCTTTTTTGTATCTATGGAACGACAGAAGACAAGGGCCAGGCAACAGATCATTTATTGAGAAAATCAAGTGGTATTTATAGATTTTTATGTGCATTATTATTAGTGTTATTGTTAGCGGAGAAGCAACCTCTATTAATTGGTTGTTTTCTTGCTAAACGTTATTCTGTTATCTCTTTGTGGCCGTTTCTCAGAAAATCAAGTCATATATCTGTGAATCATATTTTGCACACTTTAACTCCGCTGTGATTGGCTGGTGATTTTCTCAAGGTTAAGCTTTGTTATTGTTTTTTCATGACCCTGGTTCGGGACGTGAACATTGAGGTAAATTGTTGTCTACAATTTTGGCTAGCAGACAGCTATCACCACATGTATAGCACGAGAATCACAAACCAAAAGTGATAAGATGATGATTTTTTGCATGTAAGCAGCAGCTGATGCGCAAACACAACGGACTTATTGATGGGAAAGTGGAAATTGTATAACTGAAGAATGACCTAATGCGTACTGTTGTAACGTCAACTTCACTTTTGACATCATTTTTAGAGAGAACAAAAACAGATGTCTTTATTGAACAGTGGGGTTTATAGCATACCCTAACAACGACGCTAATTGTAGCGGCACAATCCGTTGCTACATTCACGTCATAACATAAATAATATATTATTTAGATATTTAACATTAAATTCTGAATTGAAAAAAATTTTTGCCAGGTATTTATTTGAATGGTTTCAGAGTTCTTGCTATTCTGTGACAGTAAATGTTGCTTCATAGTTACATCTAGGCCTCAGACTTCAAAGTTAAACATATAAAGTTGCATTTCCATGACATTATGCCATTATGTGCGGCCTATAGCGTCAGGACTACTTCGTTTTTACTTGTGTCCGATTGGTGCTCATTCAAGCGGGAGTATTTTGGGGTATCTTTTATCACCGCTCTTAATGGATATTATTGCGAAATGTTGTACACAGTGATTTCTCCTTTCAAGATAGTGATACACTTTATCCTATTATTTTCTATGCAGTATGTTTTCGAATTTTATCTATGGAATAATTTTAACAGTCTAATATTGTTTCACTCATGCGGGAATTACATATTTCTAACTTTTTGTAATACAGTAGATAAGATTGTCTATAATGAGTGCAAATTTAAGAGTTCCTGTTGAAAAGTTTTTCGTATGGAATGTTAAAAAAAATGTAAAAGATATTAAAAGCGACAGAAACTGCATTATAGGGTGGCACTAAATTTGAACACGTGTGCAACTGTAGTTGATATAAGGATAAAACTTGAACACTGTGGTAGAGTGTAACTCCATTATGGATAAAATTTTATTTTGATAAAATCACACAGTGTTGTACAGTAGTATTTACTGATGACGTTTCGAGCATAATAGGGTGGAACAGAGTTAAAATTCGAAAAAGTAATATAGATAGGTGGAGAAAGAGGTTGATTACCGAATCCTGGTTCATCGAGTCTACACCCAATACATGCAGTAGAAGTGACTCAACGCAAATACCAGAGATATGGAAGATATTATTACCAGTCAAATCAGAGGAGGATAATAAATAATGTTAAAATGTATTCAATTCACATTAAAACATTCTGACAAGTTATTTACTTTACTATAAAAACATCTTATTTTCCATCTGGTTGTATTTGATTGATAACACTAATATTATTTCCAAATGTACTTTATCTTATACTGTTTTTCAAGTATTAGTTTTTGTAGAGATTTTGTTTGATTGCATGGCGGATTTCATTATGAGCTGACATCAGTTGGAGAAACACTGGAAAAGCTGGGAGTACTGAACAGCTGTTTCGTCCCAGTTTGGGGCTCTTCACAGTAACCACCCACCGGGGTTCGAACCCAGGACCTCCTAGTTACAAGACGAGCTCGTAGACCATTGTGCCACTGGGACCTATGTCGCGCTATGTGGTGAATTGGCAGAAGTTAGAATTCAAGGACCGTTGGATCGGGTCCCAGTGGCGCACTGGTCTACGAGCTTGCCTTGTAACCAGAAGGTCCTGGGTTCGAACCCTGTCGGTAGGTGTTTACTGATGAGGAGCCAAAATTAGGACGAAACAGATGTCCAGTACTCCCTGGTTTTCCAATGGTTCTCAAACTGATGTCAGCTTATAATGAAATCCTCCATGCAGTTATACTGTTTTTATCCAAATGTCTAATTAATTTTACTCATGTATATAAATGAGGCAAGAAAGTTGTTATGATTGCCTCGATATGATTACGAGCAATAATTTGTGCTCGAAACGTCATCAGTAAATATTACTGTACAATGTGATTGTATCAAAATAAAATTTTATCCATAATGGAGTGCAACTGTAGTTGCCGAAATGATAACATGTTTATAATGATGATAATAATAATAATATTCTGAAAAGTGCGTTAATGTAGAATTCTGAGCCTGTTCTATTGCAAAGTATTTTCTCCTTGTGTAGAATCTTCAAGTAGATTAATATTCAGTATTATATCATTTGGAGCAATATTTTTTTTATTCAAAGCACACCGTAATAACCTGCTATGCTTCTTCTCCATTGTCTTCAACATTCTGTGGCGGCAGGCTGAAACCTATTTGAAAATAGGCGTAAATACATGTCGCAATTAAATTGTGTAATTGGATAGTTGAAACAACATGAAATAGAGTAAATAAGATGTATTTTGATGGATGAAAAACTAGGTAGCTCAGTGATTTAAGCAGACCGCCAAGTATTTATTTAGTCCGTAACATTTAGATAAACTGTTTAGTTTATAAATCCCTTCAATTTCTTATCAGTAATAGTTAATTAGATTGTTTAGAATGATATCATGTCTTTACCAGTAGATAGCACTTTTATCTCTTCGTATCTTTTGTTTAATTAGTTATCACAATAATTACCACTTCAAGTTGTTTTTTTCTCATAGTGTTTCTTCATAACTTGCTTATTGTTTCAGTGTGAAACAAATTCATCAGAATCTCTACGTGGACAATGGCTTTGTTGTTTAAATAAGTGCTTGAAAGTATTCAATCAATCCATTTCAGTTTTGTCATCACTTGAAACTCTTAAGGATCGAAAGGAATTTGCAGAAAGTGAAGAAGGTTCTGATTTCTTATTAGGTATGTTTCGTGTTAATTAACTGTCTATGATCTCAAAGTATTTCTTTGTTATCTACTTCTTTAACACAGAATTTTTTTATTTGTATGTAAACTATACGGCATATTTCGAAATTCATGAGATTAATACGATTAATGATACCTTTACTAATTACAAACTCATCTGTCTTCACTTTAAACATACACAAAAGTATGATTTTAACCAAAGCAACATTTATCCTTATAGTATTCTAAAAAATTAAAGGAGTATGCAATGGGACTAGCCGTCAGAATGATAAGTTTTGACGGAATTTAGTCAATTGCACTTACAAGTATTGGTTTTGTAGGGATTTTTGTTTGATTGCATGGAGGATTTCATCATGAACTGACATCAGTTAGAGAACCACTCGAAAACCTGGGAGTACTGGACAGCTGTTTCGTCCTAGTTTAGGACTCTTCACAGTAAGCACCCACTGAGGTTCGAAACCAGGACCTTCTGGTTACAAGGCGAGCTCGTAGACCATTGAGCCACTGGGACCCCGATCCAATGGTCCTTGAATTCTAACTTCTGACAATTCACGACATAGCGCGACTATTTCGCAGTAACTCATCAAAGAAGACATTGCAAAATGTTCGCGCTATGTTGTGAATTGTCAGAAGTTAGAATTCATGGGCCATTGGATCGGGTCCCAGTGGCTCAATGGTCTACGAGCTCGCCTTGTAACCAGAAGGTCCTGGGTTCGAACCTCAGTGGGTGCTTACTATGAAGAGTCCTAAACTAGGACGAAACAGCTGTCCAGTACTCCCAGGTTTTCCAGTGGTTCTCTAACTGATGTCAGTTCATGATGAAATCCTCCATGTAATTGCATTTAAATGATATGGGAAAAATTTACTCATTTGATATCCAAAGGATAGTTCAACAAAAGAGATTCTTATCCTATCAGTGATTTACTGTTAGGTAGTCAGTTGTAGGTATCATTTAAAATTAGACTGATGATTCAGCATTAGTGTCAACTATCAGTGAAAAGTATGTATGGTGCTAGTAGCATTAAGATGCCATTATTGGTAGTATTAGATTTCTATTTAATGAACCTTTTCCAGCTTTATTCAAATGCATTACAGTTGGTTTTCAGTCATCATATTGAGTTACATCTTGTCAGCTATGTTATTTTGCTTTATCAAATATTCCCTTTAAATAACCTTTTTGATTTGAAGGTGTATCTCATAAATGTCAGTGAAGAATCCGTTGAAAACCAAGAAATAGTAGGCAGTTGTTTCCTCTTAGTTTAGTGCGTTTCTTCATCAGTATGCGCGTACAACCCTATGAGCGGTTGAGTTCAGATCTATGAGGTTATGAGGCAAACACGTCATCATTTAAACTTCTGTATAGAGGCCAATATGATATGACTTCTTACTACTAGTATTTCACAGGATAGCATCACATATCTATAAACAGTGTAAATTTAAGACGAAACACCTGCCTATCAGTGGTCTTCTACGTGTTGGTTTGTTATTCAATCTAATTCAAAAGTCAAACAAATAATTATGGATTTAGAAAACAGAAAGATTGAGCGAAGAAATATTTACTTTTCAATTAGATCCTCATCTCTGGCCGTGAATGGTATTTTTAACTTAATAACTGTGTACAAAAATCCAAATTACCAAAGAAGTCACTTAACCTAAATGGACTACACTTTAGAATGAAAAGCAAGAAAAAATCGACAGGAAACCTATAGACTCAGCAGAAATCCAGGATCTCTGAATTTTTAACTGAAGTACTTGAAAGCGATTGTATGCTGTTGTGCTCATTGACTTTTGTTAATCGAATTCTCTTACTTAAAGGGTAATTTTAACTTCAAATTATATTATTTCTCCACAGTATGATAATTACTGTGATTATACTTCCAATGTTGTTTTTTTTAGATATTACTGAAATCTACTTAATGACAAGACGGATTAACCTGTCAGCTAGAAAATACAGTGAGTAATGTACTTGTTGAACAATGCACTTACTTTAATCACATTTGAATTTTCAGAGTGATTATATGCAGAAGAATAGACGTATTAACTAGTAGTTAATCTTGTAATTTGGTTATTATTCATGGTTTACATTAATGATTAGAAGCACAAAAAGTTGTTAATAAAATGTCTATTTATATTGATATGATTATTCTGGTGGTTGTCTGCTCTTAGATGAAAGTACTCACAACTGATGTCAAAATGAACAAAAATGGAGTCAGGAAATTTTAAATGATTACTGACTGAACTCAACAAACCTTTGAGTATTTAGGTTTTGAAGAAATCATTGAATAAACATTATGATAAAGGTTAACTGTGTTATAATCGCGTAGAATATGGAAATATTCATATGGCATAGACACTGATAGTTTCTCAAAGTGGAGACTTTTTTATGAATGGCAGTGTATGGGTTCTCTCAAACCATGGGGAAGTAACATCAGCCCTAATAAACTGATTGCTGATGAAATCTCCTAGGATTAATACAGAAGGCTCGTGTAACATTCGTCGACCTACGTCATCTCTGCTGAGACATGATATCCAGCTATCGAATAAAGGATATATGTACCGCCCTGCAGTTTGCTCTGACATGTATGACAGTGAGACATGGTCATTGAAAGTGGAAGATATGAAAAGGCTAGCTGTCTTTGACCACAGATGTTTGCGTTCTATTTCCAGTACCAGATGGTATAATACGGCTCTAAGTACAGAGTGTTAGGTAGACAAAGGAAGTCAATCGATGAGGTTGTGAAGTTGCATCGGCTGAGATGGTTAGAACACGTGTTACACACGCAAAGCCACCGTATTCCTCGTAGAGAAATTTTAGCTGACATACGATTGGATTGAGAAAGAGTTTAGGTGTAGTCAAATCAATACATGAAGTCTTCGATAGTTGATTTGAGTCACATAGGGAAGTGTAGACTGTCTGTTTTGAGTCATCGAGATGCTAAGAACCAACGACTGGAGTGGAGACTATTGATGAATATGGCTCAAAGCTGTTCTCAATAACTCAGATGCCTTGTCCTTTTGTAATCTCCCAGATCCATCAAATCTTCATATTTCTCCATGTAATTGTTTTCCCTTCAGTACATTTCTACTCGTTATAGTTCTTTTGAATCGCTTTTTTCTCTTCTTTACCTTTGTGCGCTACCTGAACCGCTGCACTTCTGTCTCAAATGATGGCGAAAATCTTCTGGTTAGATCTAAAATACTAATTTTAATAGTTAATAGAGTATTTTAGTCGTTATCCAATACTTTCTATGCTGATGTTCACTTCTCAAGGTGTTAAGTTTCATCCAGTAATAAGTTTGTGATTTATCACATGTTAGCACAATTCATCGGATTACGTTAATTACATCCTTATCCGCATGCATCGAGTTTTGTTACTATTGTGTGAAGATTTAGTGAACTGAGTGACTACCTAACTACGTACGTTATGCATTCTGAGCATCATAGCAGGCCGTTTTTATATCTTTTGTTTTACAACATCTCTGACCTCTGTGTTGTTGATTTTGCACCTCTACTCAATTTGCAACATTCGTTTGTGATTCTAGAAAACTCCTTAATCATTGACAGTGATTTTTTTATTCCTTTCCATTATGCTACTTGATCACGTGATATTAGTATCCTTCGCCTTTGTGATCGACAGTTAAAGTATTCGCATATTTTGTACGTTGATATTAAACTGTTTATGGGTGTGTGTGTAGCTGACAAGAACCAAAGAAATATAATGTGACGTCATTTTATCTTGCTCAATATGTGTTCTCCTTGCTTTGTTCAAACCCTGGCCTATATTATGGTTTATCACTGAGATGTAGCTGTAGTAAAAACAACTTATCGAACTCCTTTCATGGCAGATATTAAAAAAAGAAGAAATTTTGTGCGTCAGTGACAAAATATTGATTAGCTACAATACTATACCGTTTGAGGTTAGCTCATCTTACGTATCTTTTGTCCTGAGCATTATTAAGGCGAAGTAAGCTTTCAACGACATATTTTTTCTACGATTAAACGATATGAATAGCCTTAAGAGTCAGTCAACTAACTTAACTTTTTTTCTATTGTTGATGGTTTAAGGCAATCGGTACAAAGCCTAGGACCTAAGTTTCGTGCTTCTTGGCATTCACCAGTCAGCAAGTCGTATCTGCAATCTTGAAGGAACTCATGTCCCTTCTGAGATTCGAACCTGGGTCACCGAGTGCTGCAGTCACAAACGTTACCACTAGCCCATCTAACAACAATGCAGAGTGCACCATGAAAGTATTGCCACATTGCAAACTTGACTGATAGAATTAAGTCCTCACCGAACGATAGACTAGACACATGGTATTAGTTACTACCTGGTGTCCAATCAAGGCACTTTTTCTAGCATAACTGTAAGTAGTACTTAGCAATTTGACTTGAAATTCTTACAGAAGTGGGCTAATATCAACTCTAATTAATGTTGATTCAATGTATTTCTAATACAATCCTTTTTGAATATTTAGTTTTTATTTTGTCCACCTTTATTTTTTACTTTTATTTTAGGTATACTCAATCCTTCTATGCAACAAGAATTTTCGGATGTCGAGAATTCATTTCGCAAATTAGTGTCATATGCTGTTACAACCGATCTAAAGGTATTGTGCTCGTTCACATATTTACCTTATGTCAATTATACTATGTGCACAAAGTCTCATGTTGATTTCTTAATTAATCTACAAGGGAACTATTGAGTGTGTATCTCTTTTATCTGTGGAATGATCTCAGTCTCGATTATCACCACTGTTCTGTACAGTATACACAGAATGTGTTTCTGTTAAGTGAAAACACGGATATGGTGTAGTCTTCTGTATACTATGAAGGAAAAATTGAAGATGACTGGAGTGTCTTACGCCCCACCCTCGTTAAATGTAAGCTAATAATGTCGTCTTTATTGTCACCCAATTCGCGGTGTTTTTGATAATTTTAAGAAACTTACTCTGCTGTAGGGTGCTTGGTGGTGGTTAATTCGTCTAGGCGTTCCACTAAAAACTACTGAATTACTGTTTCTAGCCCCTCTCCAAGTACCAAGATTTAAATCAGTCAGGTGTTATTGTTAGTCCTCACAAAATATTTCGAAGATGCTCTTTCATTTCAGTTGTGTTTTCTTAGATTTCTTCTTTCTTTAATCTGTCTTCATCACCTAATAAATTGAGTTTTCACCTTGTAAGTTTATCTGTATTTATGTTATCGTAGCTTACACGAAGCTACTTTCCTGTTGAGTGTCGCACAACATACTTCGAATGCAGCAGTAATCTTAGAGCATCCCCCCCAAACTATTATTTAGCAAGACTTGCTTACTATACAACCTCCTTTTTAGATTGTTTTTGATGGCTGTTAGTCATCCTTTGGAATGGAATGTTTTCCGATAATTCCTGAAATCCCCAATATTTTGCTAAAATAAAAAGATCAATAATAACTTTATAAAAAATGTTTTTCTGTTATTTTTTTTCCTTGTTGTTTAGAGTAAAATCGATCAGACTTTGAAATCAATCACAATATTAGAAAGTGAAAATATGATTCAAGATTTCATGAATGCCAGTTCACCTTATTGTGGAGTATGTCTTTCATCAATCAATCCAGCTGATGGCCAATGTGTTAATAATCCTGTCAACGAGTCATCGATGTCTTCTTCCTCTTCTTCGCCTTCTCCTCTTCAACATATTAATGGTCATAAAAGACAAAAACACTTAAATCACTGTTTACCACATATTAATCTAGCTGGTTGTTATTATCATATTCCATGTGCTAATTTTTGGATGAATTGTGTTGAACTGTGTTTACCTGCTCTTAAATTACCATCAGTATTCATATGATCCTAACATCTAACTTGCCTTTCGCCTCTCCTATCCAGTGTTTAAAGTATACTGTGAATATCTTTCGTGCATCATTGTATTGTATGTACACAATGTGCAACCGATTGTTTAGCATTTGATTTCTTTTGTGTAATACTACTTATTATTATTTTTGATGCTTTTCGCGTTTATTTTCTATTTCTGAAAGTCTTTATTGACTGATTAGCCATGTTATCTACTTCATGTTGTTTTTGTTGCTGCTGTTGTCTTCACACTGGTATGTCACTTTTGTCAATTATTTCTTCATCCCGTGCATTATTACTGATATTATTATTATTGTTATTATTATTATTACAGATATCTGTGATGTAATAAAATATTGTCTGTGACCTACACCGATTTCTTTTTCTCTCATCCTGTGTGATTGAGTACGAGAGTGGTTTTAATTTGCATTTCTGTAGTGTTATTTGCCAAGATATTCTTTTATGGGTTTGCACATACCTCTTATAAGTTGGAAATGTTCTTTATCATGAACACAGAGAACAACAGTATTATTTTTACAATTGTTAAGATTCTCAGATATCATTAATCAAATGATTAACTTTCAAGAATTCTGTTTAACTAATTGTAAGACTGAACATTTAAAGGTTTTAGTCTCTTTTTTTAACTCTGCATAATTTATGCACATTTACTTCATAATACTTAGGTCTGTTTCACATGAATGATTCAACATTAAGATTACATGAATACAAAGCATAAATCATTACTTGTAAGCGACTTAACAGATGTGCAGTTTACGTGTTGAGAGTTTGAGGCCGAACCCGTACCACTACTACTGGTGATTAGAGTCGTAACTAACTGCAGTGAGGTGTTGTTTTCTTCGGACAACCCACAAATCAGCTTTTCTGCCTTCCTTCACTGAGAAAGGTAGGTTGGAAAAGATAAGCTTCAAAAATTGTACATCTTAGATTATACTGCTGTGTCATGATGTAGCCAGTGGTAAGGTCCTCATACGAACACAAGTCCAAAAACCACTTCAAACAAGCCGTGTGTGACGGGCTTAAAGGAGTTGTACGCTGGGCTCTACTGTCACGCAATTCTAATGTGTTGTATTCTTTGAACCGGGTGATTTAATTGCGTGGTTTCCATTGCTGTTTCAGGCAATATAGTCGAAATTATCTTCTTCATTATTTCAGACTCACACTGAAGAAAATGTATTGACCTTGTGTATACACAGAATGCTAAGCATATCTCAGAGTTTTTCTAAACCCAACACTTAGTATAATCCGTAATCAATAAATATATTAATATGAAGATTTGTTATAAAATGAAGGAATCATATGACTAGAAGGTTTAATATCTGGCCAACTAGGTGATCAATAAGATTATATATATGTGAACATAATGATAGCAAAATCTCTGGATATAACTAGTCTCAGATCAGGTCATCGGAAGAGATAGTAACCTCATCTATGAAAGTTTTTAAAGTCTCACTTCTGTTGTTTAGAATGATGATATTAGTTTAACAATCAAATCGTCTACCTCAGAAGTGCAGTTGCATTCATAAGTTTCTAAGGCTTTCCATTTTGGTGGAATAGTTTTCACGACCTTCCAATCAATGTGTGATGGGTTGTTTTGATCTCAGTGTACACTATAATACGTATGCCTACCAGTTAACTGTGGTTCACCAGTCTAAACACTCAGTGACCAACCATTGGGTCATGGGTTAGAATCCGACCTCATCTGCCGAGGTTTGATCAGTCCTTATACAATGAATAGATGTAGCTCAGTGTCGACTATATTAAAACTTCCCAAATTGTTTTCTACCATCTAACAACGTACTTTTGAGCGAGTAACATTGGTCAATGTATAGTCTGTGATGAGACTTATTGGAAATTTCCTACAGAAAGTTGAGAATGCTGTATAACTTTCGTACTAGGCTTTGTTCTCTTAAGTAAACTAGTTGAACGTGTGATAGTTGAAACGAAAACATGTCTTAACGTTTTACAATTGAGAATGCCATTAGATAAATTTAAATGATAATAATTTTCATTCACATTATTTGTTTTCGGTACTGTAGTATCCACAATGACATTCTCTTTAAAACTGTCTTGATTCAGTAATTTCGATAGTAATGCATCCAAATGTGAATATTTCCTGTTCATGTGGGATACTAAACCCGTGGGCTTAAGACTGCACTATGAAGTATAGTTTAATTCTTCTAAGGCCCACTTACTTTTACTTGCCTCTGATGGTCTTTCTTGTTTATCCACTACTTAGAGTCTCATTTTTGGAAATTCAAATGTGGAAAACATTCAGTTGTAATTGTAATCTGCCTAAATGATTTTATATAACTTGTTTTTAAATTATTTACAAGTGGCATAGGTTGTTTTATAAACTAGTGTAGCCTTTTATGAAATTGGAAATGCGCATTGTAAGTCACACCTATACGTGGGTTCGTTTTCATAATAAAATGGTCTAAATAAGGTATTCTTTCATTTAAAATCGTAGTTTTTCTTTCAGCAATTTCTTTAGCTACTCATCTTCTGTTTTTCAGTAGTGAAGCTTATTATTTTGTAATAAACACTTGAACCTTTATATCATCATCTATACCGTAATTCATGAGTACTACTTTTTTTCTCTTTCTTTAATTTTTCCTCCTTAAAAGGTATCTCGTGAAGTTATTAGCTGTTATGACTGATTCTGTGTCGTCGGCAGTTTCCTATCCATATGCTCCCGGACCATCTAATTCTAATCATCCCTGTCAACCAGATTGGCGTATTGAAGCTTGTAAATTATTGGAGCAAGAAATTGATAAATTAAAGGTGGAAAACGCAAGTTTAGCTCGTCAAACTTTTGTTCTAGCATCATGTGTAAAAGATCTTTTAGCTGAAATTGAAGCTCTTAAAACATCTTCACCAATTAAGCCGCTTGATGAAGAAACGCTAACAGAACGTTTATTACATTATCAATCTATTATTGAAAAGAAGAAGCTAGCTGATACTACTACTACTACTAATACTACTACTACTACTAATACTACAACTAATGCTACTACTACTAGTACTAGTAGTAGTAGTACTGCTACTACTTTTCCAACTGTAATAAAAGATGAAAATACAAATAAAAGACCAAAATATTCTCCAAAGTATACAGAAATAAAGAAACACAGAATAAGTGAACCGAAACAACTGCCTGTTCACAATAATTTAAAGCGCAAGTTGGATAGCTTACCTAACCGAAATTATAACAATATTAATTATAATAATAATAATAACTATTATAATAAAAATAATCGACCACCTTGTCATAGGCGTTATTCTATGGAATATACAGATGTAAAAGATATTGAATCTGAAAATCCTGAACTGGTCCGAACTGCTTTCAGACTATTTGCCAAGCATATTGGTCCATCGTTAAAACGTGAACATCGTGTCATGTTCAATGCTCCACCAACTCAAGATTGGTTAGCTAATCAACTATTATCAAGATGGGAAAAATTGAGTTCAGCTGGAAAGTTAAAATGGTGTAATCGTGTACAAGCACTCCAATGATGATATACAATGATAATCACTCCTTTTTTGTAAATAAAACTGTATATTACATCAAAAATACCATATATGTATATATATATTTGTATTTAAAGAGCTGATCTGAATAATAAATTAAATATTCCTACTATTATTCACACATTTTAAGCAATTGTATGTTTGTTTGTCAATTCATCGATCATTTCTTGGGAGTTTAGCGTTTACTATTTACTGTAACCGGACCGTGTCATTCAGTTGACTCTCGTGACTTTTAATTTCAAGGAACTAATTGTCTGATTTTTTATGACACAGAACAAGCTGTTTTCTTACTACATACTGTTAAAGTAAAATACATGCCTTAAATAATCACCTGTTTAAATGATTACATATATTAGAAAGGAATAAGAAACCCTCTTGAAAACCGTTCTATTACATAGTCTAAAGCCAATACCTCTGTGTGTCTCACAGTGAATAAAGGTGATTAACTGAAAGAACGAATATGATCTAACTTTCTCTGGAACAACACAAGGTAATATTTCCTATAGTTTGGTTTGTAAGAGTTAGTTTTGTTTTTACGAGTTGATCACGAATTAATATCAGTTAGAAAACCATTGAAAACCAGGGAGTACTGGATAGCTGTTTCATCCTAGCTTGGGAATCATCGGCAGTACGCACCCACTGGGGTTCGAACTCGTAAAAACGAAACTAACCCTCACAAACCAAACTATAGAAAATTAATCTGATGCTCGCTAGTGACTTGCTACAGGATGGAGTTCTAGTGAGATGTTGTGACCAGTGCGGTCCATCCAGATGTCATGTCTGAGGATGGATATTCCACCGATGACATTGGTTGGGGTCGCACTAAATCACAAATTGGTAGAGGTTAGAATTCATGAGCCATTGAATCGGGTCCCAGTGGCTGAATGGTATGCAAGCTTACCTTGTAACTGGAAGGTCCTGGGTTCGAACCCTGGCAGTGGGTGCGTACTTCCGATGATTCCCAAACTAGGATGAAACAACTATCCAGTACTCCCTGGTTTTCAATGGTTCTCTAACTGGTATTAGTCCGTGATCAACTCGTAAAAACAAGGTAATATGTGTATTAATTTGGAGAAAAAAGGTGTTGCCTATAGAAGGATAATCAGCCAGTCACTTTTTGTTATTATCGTCGTCACTACATAACTCCCGCCATTCCTCTTTGCCTTGATCAGGATTTACAAAAACCACAAGTTGCTTAGATCAAAGTCAGAAGAATTATTCTGTGACAGAGGGTATTTTTCAATCTTTTTCATAAGAAGTTATCGCTTAACATAACTCCAGATAAATCTGTCAGTCAGTTATGCAAAACAACAATCGGATTTTCTTAACAGTGAAAAAATTGACTGGAAATTAAAAATTGCAAGGTACACAAAAGTAAACTATAGACCAAGTTGTCACACGTCATAAAAGTAGAGAGTACTGAAGAAAATTGTAGTCAACGAAAATGTACGAGAAAAACTACCTGCATGAAAAATAATCAGGATTTTCAAAATCTGAAAGACCACATGAAGTGAATTTACCTGCATTATTGTGAAAACGTTTAGGCCATATCACTAACACTCTCCAACCACTGATTCTTAGCATCCCGATAACTCCAATCACACCTTCCTACGTGGCTCAGAAAAGAATTAAATGGCACTACCCTAGTTAGATGGAATTGTGAGAAGGCAAATAATGCAGGGGAGATTGTTGAATTGTTTTAGAATTTAGAAGTTAGTAAAGTAAAATAAAGTTTTAGGATCATATCGTTGACAGTTTCCAACCATTGGTTCTTATCACTTCTGGAAAAAGTAATACCTTTTTGCCTAAAAACTGAAGTTTGTATATTGGTCTGTATCATCTATTTGTCTTTTATTGGGATCTTGGATTAGTAGAGATTTAATCCAATTCAATGTTAATTGCAGTACAAATTATTATGAGTTAGAAAACCGCTGGAAACTAGGGACCACTGAACATCTGCTTTTCTCTAGCAGTTCATACTAATGACATCACCAGACATGGAACTCATAACGCACAGATTACAAGTCAAACACGTTTATTATTCAGCCACTGAGTCGGAATTCAATGGCCCACAAATCCACATGTGTGCCATTTTGTGGTATAGCACCACCGCCAGTCAACAGTGACTGTAGCTTCCTCCCAGGAGGGTAGTATTTATACATATCCATTAACCCAATAACTTCATAGCATGATAGCCATGCTAAAACTATTTCCACAACATGTTTCTTTTATATACCTCAAGATTTGCTCTGACCATCTCATCATTCACGTAAATTCACGAAGTTTTAACCACTGATTTGCTTTTCTTGCACGAAACGTCGCTCATAATTTCCATCTCTGCATTCAGCGTTGTATTAAACAACAATGAAAGGTGCTCACTGACTAAATAAATTGATGAATAATAGAAATTATACTGACATTAGTTATTAAAGTATTCATTGGTGTTTTTGGATTGAGAATAAAATGTCTCACTCTATAAACCAAACCTCCATTATGATTTAATTGGTGGATGGTGACTAGCAGTGGAATCCGGGATGCACATTTCGCCCTATGTGAGACTCGTCATCTGGATGTACCTGCATTTCCCAGTAAGTGATGATGCTCCCGCCGAGGCTCGAACCCATCTCCATCTTCACAAGAAGCCGACATGTCAACCTGAGACCGAGCTCTTCGGTCCAATCAATCGACGGGAAAATCTAAAATTCAATCAAAACTCCATTAGTTAGTTGAGTTCTTTTTGGATGAGTATTGGATTCTGATCTTCACTGTCTGCTTGAAAATATATACTGGCTACTTCAAAGGCTACTCAAAGATCTTCACTACAGCGAAAATAAGTATGTCAGTTATTTTTAAAAATTTCATAATCATCACTTATTCCTTTTTTTATTTTTTTTTTCTTCCTTCTGAAAGGAGTAGAATTACTTGAAAATGGTTGAAACTAATGATGACTATCTGAAACGCTTGGGTATAAATATGCATAACTTGGAAAGAGAAATGAATTCAGCTGTTGTAAAAGAATCTAGATATTGGATTGAAAATGATGCTAAAATTAGAGCAGTTCAACAAGGTGTTCCGACATATGATGATTTCAAGTTTGTCGTGTGTTTTTTGTTTTAAATTTTATGGGCATATATGTATAAGATAATTGGTATTTTCAACTTTTTTTCATTTATTTATTGTTATATTCACATTTGATTCGTACAAATCACAAAAGAATGGAGTTTCTTGTCAAATTAATGACCAATGTCGAAAAAGGTTGTCAGGAGATACAATTATGTCATTCATGCAGCATTCAAATAAGTCCACTTTATATTGAAGTTCGCTCCAAAGATGTTATCTGGAAGGACAATGAAAGCTTCGCAATCATATCAAAATATTAATCATGAATAAACAGCATCATTACTACAGTTATAAAGCGTATGTAATGATACTTTCTAATTCCTTGTAAACCAGCCGTTTTAAAAATTAGGGGGTTTAGTGTCTGTTCAGTACCGAATGGATACTAACAGCCTCTTATGTTACACTGATATACACGACATTTTACAGCACAAATCATTTCACATAACATGCAAAAGATCTGAACACTAATGAAATAACAGTGTGATCGATCTAGCGTTGTCTACGGAAAACAAATACGGTCACTCATATCCAAAATGGTTTAATACTGTTTTCATTTAAAGAAAGTTTTTACCATTCCAGCAAACATTCATAAAGTAAAATTATTCCTTTTTCTGCAGGGAATTGGTAGCTGGATGCCATTTAAAACCTTTAGAGCGATCAGAATTGATCAATTCTTCTAGTAAAAAATCCTCTTGGAATTATTCTGCAACGCTAGTGAATAACAGTACCACATCTTTTGAACCGAAGTCAAACTCAAGCATAGTAAGTTCATATAAAACGGCAGAACAAGTCACTGTTTGGTGTAGTAGATATGTTTACTTGGCAAAATGCATAAATCTTACATTGAAATCTCCATTTACACTTGTTCTTTGTATTTTACTTCCTTAGTCTTCCTTTTATGCTTTCTATATTATTTCAAAAGGATATTTCATTTATCTTCTCTGTGACTTTATCTATCACTCCGTCGGTGGCACAGTGATTAGTACGCTCGCCGACCATGCACAAAGGTCCGGGGTTCGATGCCCGGCCGACGCACATTTGATACCAATGGTTGACCTGCTAAATTTGGGCTACCGATATCACATGCTGAAAATTCCCTATAAGTACCAAAATACTGTGTGGTAACAAGCGATAATAAAATTAATTAAAAATTAAAATTAAATTCTTGCAGAAGATATCACACACCATATACTACTTGCAAAATCTTGTCAGAAGCATACACAACACATGCGCTTTGATTACATTCCCATAGCTCATTGTGATTTAAAAGCATGCTGATGTGTGTTTTCACAATATCATTTTTCACTCATTTGTAATCTAAATGATTGAGTGAGGAACTGAATTGTATGCGTTAAATAAGCTTCGTTGTGTAACAAATTCATGTGCTCATGGTTGACATTATGTAAGTCATGTGTTTTTTATATGAGATTCGTATTTCCTTGTTGTTTTAGGTGTTTAGCTATGTCGTGAATTGGCAGAAGTTAGAATTCATGGGCCATTGGATCGGTTCCCAGTGGCCTAATGGTATACGAGCTCGCCTTGTAACCAGAAAGTCCTGGGTTCGAATCCCGGCGGGTGAATACTGTGAAGAGTCCACAGCTAGGACGAAACAGCTCTCCATTACTCCCAGGTTTTCTAATGGTTCTCTAACTCATGTCAGCTCATGATGAAGTCCTGTAACCAATCAAATCCCTACAAACCAACACTTGAAAAAAAATTATATTTGCACAATACATTTCAAATAGTTTGATCACACATTTACTTATCAAGTCAATTTATACGATAAATAAAAGGCCAATTAAAATGAATGAAGTGATAGAGGATTTAAGAATAAGAATAATGAGAATAATTAACACTACATTTGATAAAATAAGTATTTTAGTAATAGATAGGTTAGTGTTGTTTATTTTAATTGGTCGTTTACTTTTCATATAAGTTGAATTTAGTAACTCAGAACATATTTTTCATCAACCATGTCATGAGCTACTCTCATTGTGTAAGAAATCTCAGTACGGATATAGAAGGCTAGTTTCGCATATGCCAGTTTACGCCGTCTCTGGTGTAGACGGGATATCCGGCTATCGACCAAAGGGCGGGTGTACTGCTCATCAGTCCACTCCGTCCTCCTTTATGGCTGTGAGACATGGCCATTGCGAGTGGAAGATATGAAAAGACTAGCTGTCTTTAATCATAGGTGTCTGCGTTCTATCTCCCGTGTGAAATGGTATAATAAAGCGAGCAATATTGAGGTTAGGCATCGAGTGCTAGGTAAGGAGGCGAAATCAGTAGATGAGGCTGTGAAGTTACATCGAATGAGATGGTTAGGGCATGTGTTACGCATGCCTAGCCATCGCCTTCCTCGACGGGCAATGTTAGCTGGCGTAGGATAGATCAGGTTGGAAAAAAGCCAGTGGTGGTCAAACCAAAACATGGCATCAGTCAATGAAATCCGCAACAGTTAGTTTAAGCTAGTCACGTGGGGAGGCGTAGACTTCCTGGTTGAAGTCCTCCGGACGGTAAAAAGCAATGGTTGGAAACAATTGGTGATATGGCTCAAAATCGTTCTCAATGGCGCAGATGCATCCACTCCTTGTGACTTATGATTTCAAATGAAACTATATCGTTCTTCGTTATTACCATTCCTTTGTCTGACACCTCTGTTTACTGTCTCTATTTCGCATTCCTTCTACTTTCTTCTCTTGCTTTGTGTGCTACATGGAGTGTGGCGACTCGAACTGCTGCACATCGGTGCAAAGTTCTATATCGAAAACAGACAGACAGAGAGAGAGGTGATTATACTATCCAATTGCCTAAACAGAATTAAATAGAGAAAGATTTGAATCGAGGAAAGTCGAGCAAATAAGTCACAGCGCCATACATCTGTATGCAGTAAGACGTGTACATTAATAGTTTCAAACAATACATTTTAATAATGTGTTCATCTCGAGTTTTGAGCATCAGAAATGTGTTGAACGACCGTCTTCTAGACGTAATAACATTCTCAGTTGGTATCACTTGAAAAGTTTCTTTCCCATCTGTGATTAGAATAAAAGAAAAAGAAAATGTAACTCATCAACCCTATGCATGTTGATTTATTCATCAATGGGTCACACCTATTATACAAAAGATTAAGATACCATTTTGATACCCGAAATTAGGTAAGTTGTATAAAGTTCAAATTCGTGATTCAGCGTTTGAAATTTGAATGCTTATTTAAATAGTGTAATATTTCGCAAAAAGCCTATTCACTTGTATATTATTCATCAAAATTTCTTTCATCTTTTTAAGCACTACTAATCAAGATAAAAGGGAATCATTAAAGGAGCTGCTTTCGTTAGCTGATTAGCCCTCATTAGAATGTGTGCAAATAAGCATTGAGTTTTATCGTTGCACTGGAAGTAATCAGTGTGGTTTTATTTAGAGTTTAGTGTTATTCGGGTTCTGTGAAACATTAAATTTAAATTTATAGCATCCTGATGATTTCTTCCAACCACATCACATCAGTTTACACTGCGTCGGTAGCACAGAGGCAGAATGCTCGTCTACGAAGCATACGGTCCGGGGTACTATCCCCGGACAACGCACTCCTTTACTTCGCTAGGACAGTAATAGGATTGGTAAGCCTGCGTTGGTTTTTGTCATCCCGAAGACTTCAACCAGGAAGTCTACGCCTCCCCACGTGACTAGCTTAAACTAACTGTTGCGGATTTCATTGACTGATGCCATGTTTTGGTTTGACCACCACTGGCTTTTTTCCAACCTGATCTATCCTACGCCAGCTAACATTGCCCGTCGAGGAAGGCGATGGCTAGGCATGCGTAACACATGCCCTAACCATCTCATTCGATGTAACTTCACAGCCTCATCTACTGATTTCGCCTCCTTACCTAGCACTCGATGCCTAACCTCAATATTGCTCGCTTTATTATACCATTTCACACGGGAGATAGAACGCAGACACCTATGATTAAAGACAGCTAGTCTTTTCATATCTTCCACTCGCAATGGCCATGTCTCACAGCCATAAAGGAGGACGGAGTGGACTGATGAGCAGTACACCCGCCCTTTGGTCGATAGCCGGATATCCCGTCTACACCAGAGACGGCGTAAACTGGCATATGCGAAACGAGCCTTCTGTATCCTTACATTTGTATAGAAGCAATTAGCTATCGAATCGAATGTCACTCTTTTGAAATAATCCGATAAGTGTTCTTATTAGCACTAAAATATTAGCACAATTATAAAAACCTCAAAAACGAGTTCGGCCTGAGGAAAAAATATTCGCTGATAATATTGGCTGGCGGTTGTACTATATATCACAAATAGACATAAGTTAGAATTGATAAACCACTGGATTCCATCTTAGTGGTTAAATAAATATACGAGCTCGCCTTATAATCTGAAGGTCGTGGGTTCGGTCCCTGTTGGGGACAGGGATGCGTACTGATGAGGGGTCCCAAGCAAGGAAGAAACGGATCTCTGGTGCTCCTTGGTTTTCAGTGGTTCTCTAAATCAAGTCAGTTCGTAATCAACCAATATAACTGATATGATTATGAACAAAAAATTGTCTTCCAAACGGCATCCAGTAAATAATACTACTTCACTGTGTGATATATCTAATAAACAAATTAATACGAAATATCCCTGCAAACCAACACTTGAGAAACACTTGTGTTTTAAAGACATATTGAATGAATGTTGTTTGGTTTATTTAATTTTATTCATTTGCTCTTCAAAATGTGAATTTTCTGAAATTGAATTTTGCTCCTTACTGAGTTTGGGTTAATTTAACTATTCTTAATCTAATAAGTGTTATCTTTCGAAGGAATTAGTTTTGAATGATAAACCCTAATTAGTATTAAAACATCAGTAGATGTTTTCTAATTATTAGCATATTTGTCAAATGCTGGGTGACTCTGAAGTATTCAACGGTGGCATGCATTTGCCGTAGATGTGCCTTTGCTACAACTTATTTACTGCAAACATAATTACAGAACACCTGGTAAATGTGATTGGTATCTACCCCCATGGATGTATGGTAATCAAACAGTTATGTTAGTCAGCATTAGGTATAATGCGTCGATGGTTCAGCAGTAGGATGCTCACCAAACATGCAGGTAGATGAACCATGGTCGATCCCCAGCTGGCCTACACCATTGCCTCTCTTAGCTAGTTGTAAGCCCGACAAAGAGAGGAAGGTTGAGTATGAGGCTAGCGACTCCACCCTGTAAAAAAATCACCAGAGCTATTGAAACTTTAAAGCTCAAGCTTGAAGCCCTATGTTTCACTGGGAAAGCAAAGTGAAACGGACGTCTGATGTTTAAATCACTTCGACCTGGCCAGCAAACACTACTAGTTGGTGTGAGTAATATTCAGCTACTCACCATAATCAATCATTAGTACATGGGGTCATTCAATGTAAATTTTTATACACCTCAGTCTTTCTAACCTAATGTTATCATTAAAATTGCCTTATTAATCTATAACTTCTTTTTCTCCTTTTTGTTTTCACTTATAGAATACAAAAACATGTACAACTCCACAAGAGTTTCTATCACACTGGCGTCAGATTAAATCATCACCTGTATTGACTGATGACAATGATAAGAATAATTATTTATTCGAGTTATTATTGAATCAAAAAGATGAATTACTGGAAAATCTTTTTCATACTGGATTAGGTGTCTCTTTTTTACCTGATGTATTGACAATACTGGATCATGCATTGATTCAGGCAGATAATAATACATCATCAGATGACAATAGTAGTTATAATATAATCTGTAAAGTATTTATGATACTTAGAAATTTTCAAAAATCTAAACAATTCCCTGTAGCTGTTGATTGTTTATTGGATAATGAAATAAAAATAGCACATCAACTTCTTTATCGATTGAAGAGGATTGGAAATAAATTTAATATATTTGAAGGTAAAAAAGAAGAAAAAGAAGCTCTAAGGAAACTTTTTGATGCTTTTAATTGTAATGACGAGAGGGATACTTAAACTGAAATTTGCATTTTATGCTCAATTGGCAGCTAATTTTTTTTCTAAAGATTTTGTTTCCAGTTCATTCCATATCATATTCTGTGATTCTTTGAGTAATATTAGTTTGTTTTATGATTAATTTAACTGTACATTCAAAGCCATTTGCAAATCTACATTATTTACGCATGTTAGGTTTTACAGTATGTGATTTTAAAAGTAATACCATTAATGGAAATAACATTTGTAATATGAACTAATACATTTTTGATGGTATAACAGTGCATTTTCAACTACATTTGCATATTCGGTTCGATTTCGTCTTTTGCAAACACACTTCTAATAATCCTAATTTTGAAAAAGGAAGTATCTATGTCATCATGTTAATATGATGTACTATCATTTGAATGTAGGGATTCTGTATTCTCTGATGACTGTTAGAATGAGAGTAGTCCAGTTAAGGCATGTTTGCTGACCATACCTCAAGTTGCGGTGTCTCTGATGTTTTCATAATTGCTAGCTTTCTTGCTAGCATTTAAGAAGTGTCTGTTGATTCACTGACTGCAGTAATAATTTGGTCGTTCCCAAGGGTGATTATTGTGTTACTTATTTTAAACGATTGTCACCTTTACCTCATCTGAAACGACTGAATCGTTCCAGTGTGATTTTTAATACGGTAGGATTAAAATGATTACTGAAATCTAGTCACAACAGACTATTGGTGGCCATTCCGGATTTTAACTGCCACTCTCCTTGATTTCTCTGCATTTCGTAGACGTTTTTATCCTGCCTATACCCGAGTTGCTATCACAGACGTCATTTATTAACCAAGTTTCCATTATAACTATGACAGCAGGGAACAGATAGCGTAGAAGTCCGATATACTACGTCTGTTCTCCCCTAACTTACTATGAAACTACTTGGTAACTTTTATTACTGAGCAGGGCTTCAACGTTCTGATTCCTGGTGAGAGGTGTACTGAACCAAGGAGAGGTTTTGCTAGTTAGGTGTTTTCGAAAAGACTATGGTGATGCAGTTTGTTTTGCTACTAATGCTGAATGAATTCCCCCTGTGACTTGTACTTTGCTGATCTGCAGTTACATGAGTTTGGGTTGGCAATAAGATTTGTTACGGAGTTCTGGGTTCAGTTTCTCGATAAATTAGGCTACTTCTCACAGTAATTTCGTTTCAGAAGACGCTAAAAGGACATTTGCGAAGCTTCCCACGGAATGACTTGATTTTCTGGTTGTGTCTGCATGGTTTAGTCTTATCAATAGGATGCCTAAGTCTGATTATCTGACTGTGTTGAAGGGAACATGTATCCTAACCCAAAACACTAAGCACTACATAACACATGATTTCTCTACTTCTCTTTCAACAAATAATCATAGATAAATCCAACTAGAATTCCAATAAGAAGTCTGTGTAGAAGTTAGAGATACCCTGTCATGTGATTGGAAATAAAAGTCCTGCATATTGTGAATTCTGTATTTCTATCTCAATGAGATTAATTCACCATCATGTTAAACCAAAAATAATTTTAATAAGCCGAGAAATCTAATTCACTAGTTATCACTGAGATCTGTGATATTATGCGAAAAATTTCCGCGTGAGAATTCATTAAGACCTGAATAATGACTATATGAAGTACTGGTCAAATACATCAAAAATCAGTCATCTTAAAGTTAATGGAAGAGTTTGATAATAATTTTTATGCCATTGGATTTAATTGTCGAAGGGGAAAGGCCTAAATAAGATTATATGTGATAAATTTTTGAATAAAGAAAGAACTTCATACAACTGGTTCCCTTGATAAATTTCGATAAAGAAAGGAAGACGAAATTTGCAGTATAAAATGATATCATTCTATTTCACAGGTTCTCATCAGCTGCAGACTACCTGAAATTACAATGGTTATATAAATGATAATAACATACTTTAATGTTTGAGTAGTAGTAGAGAAGAGATAAAATTGACGCATCCAAAAAAGAATGAAAGCATTACAATTTTTAGTTTAAGTTATCATCAATTTATACACTTTCAAAGTTGAAAAGAGGGGGGAGGGGTAAGACAGAAAACAGAAAAATTGATTAACAGAAACAGTGTTAGCTTGTAGGTTCACATAGCAACTCCAAAAAACAAAGGCGGTTACAGTTTATGAGATTAAGATTTGTTCAGTGAGTTGAGATCACTGAATTAGATGACTGATCAAAATCAAAATTCAGTTACCAAGGCAGTGAGAGGTTAATCACACTCTCTTTCTGTATGCATAAGTCTGGTTTAAATCGTTTGATTGCGATCGCTTCGGCAAATCGTAGTAAATTTGCTGTCCTTTGTCTTTTTAATATTTTGAAGGACTTAGAAATCTCTACGAGATGTCCGGTATCAACAATATGTCTGGTAATTGCACTCTGAGAATATTTGCTTCCTTTCAGGCATAGGTTTCTTGGAATATTTTCAGAAAACCGGATAGAAGCCCTTCTTTCTGTCCTTCCAATGTACTTGCTCCCGCAAGTGCACGTAAATTCATAAACGCAGTTGGAGGTGACATCAACAGGGTATTTATCCAGTTTTGAGTGGATTATAGAAGGAGTAGTGTTGTATATTGTTATGAGTTTTGCTACCGGGAAGCTTCTATTTATTGCTCCTTTCAGTCTTCTGTCAATCTTTTGTGACACTGCATCTCCTTTGAATGGGAGACAAATAAACACTTTTTTCTTTTCTACAGTTGGATGCTTTTCTTTCTTATCTTTTTCTCTGCTATACTTCTGTATAAATCATTTAGAGTATCCATTTTCCCTCAGACATTTCTCGACGAAATCTAGTTCTTCTTCGACCTTGTTTGGTGAACATAGCTTCCTGGCTCTGTCGTACAAAGTCCTCATTAATCCACGTTTATAGCTTATGGGACAAAAGCTGTTATAGTGAAGATATTGTCCAGTTCAGGTTTCTTTTCTATAGATGGACTTCTCAATTAAGCCTTCGTTTGTTCCTTTTACATTTAGATCCAGGAAATTGAACTCATTTTGATGTTCATATTCCATGGTGAACTTGATATTTTGGTGGATGTCATTTAGGCGATCATATAATGCCGATGCGTGATCCATGTCGTTGCAAACAACAAATGTGTCATCAACATATCGGCGATAGTAGGTTGTTCCATTGATAGCAGAACTTAGATGTGTCTGTTCAAGGTAGCCCATGACGGTATCAGCCAGGACAGGTCGCAGAGGTGAACCCATCGCGACCTCATCAATTTGTCGGTAGAGTTGATTGTTGAATTTGAATTGTATATCTTTTGTGCAGAGCAGCAGTAGTCGCTTCATCTAAGTTCTGCTATCAATGGAACAACCTACTATCGCCGATATGTTGATGACACATGTGTTGTACTGAGTTAACAAATTTAGTAAAATATAAGTGAGTTCACGGTTAAACCTCTTTATTTTAAAGATATCGAATCGACATTGCTATTCATGATGACTTCGAATTCATGAACGTCAGATAAGTAGTTTCAATTTTTATGCGTAACACTTGTCATTTATCAAACCAGCGCACGAAAATGACTATTACCAACGAAACTGAAAGCCAGTTTGCTATAATTTATAATAAAGTCTCTGTGATACTGAATATTACAACTATGGTGTGATATTTAACTACTATGGCGTCCATATTACTAGTACTACTTCTTCTTTTATTCTTTTACGTCCCCAATGTAACATACGGCTTCAAACTAGAGGCTTGAAGTTTCGGTAGCAGTGGTGTTTATTTTTACAGGATGGGGTTGCTAGCCTCATGTCCAACCTTCTCTCTTTACCAATCTTATTATTGGCTTAGCGATGTTTAGGAGTGCGTCGGCCGGGAATCGAGTCCCGGACCACATGCGTGGTTGGCGATCATTCTACCTCTGTGCCACCGACGAACACTAGTACTTCTACTAGTCACTAATAAGTAAGTAGCTTAATCCTTATTTTACAAACTTTTTATTTTTGTCCAAATTCTACAGTTTTTGTATTTCCTATTAGAAGAAAGTATGCTGAGATAAAATCGTCAAATATTTAGGTAAGAGAAGTCTGATATGTACTTCACTTCTCTCTAGATGTTGATAAGTAGCAAACTAATACTGCCACTTGCTTGAAGTAAACTCTCCACCGCATTCAGACTGGATTTCATCACTGACCTACAGCAGTTACAGATAGGTTATTTTACTTCCTCACCATCATTTAAAGTAGACATAGATTCAATTATTCATTCTACGTGTACCGTCTACATGGGTGTAACATATTGCCTATGCCATTAAATCACCAAATTTCAAGGTTATTTTCATTATTTATTAGTTTTAACTATATTTATTTAACTTTGTACTTTTTAAATCTTTTATTTTTTTTTAATATTTCGTCTGGTTCTCATTTGGTAAACAAAGATATCGTATTATTTGATAAATGATGTTCAGCTATGGAATCTAGGATGTTTATTGTATCCTATTGGGAATTCATCATCTAGATATGCCTACAACAATTTGACTTCAAACATTCACCTACTGTAAGGGTAGAATTTAGGCATTATGGTAGAATATGATTCCATATTCTATAAGTTTATTTGATATAACATACAGTGATGCATTTTCGAGTACAATCTACTGTTCATAATCATATGAGTGTATACATTTGATTTAAAATCTTGCCTTATATAGTCCTACACCCTGTTGTTTTTTTATTTCGATTGTCAATATATCCGGCATAGACGTTCCGTTACTTCGATTGTATTATTATTATTATTGTTCCCTTGGGTTCCTAGTGGAACATAGGGCTTCAACTGCACGTCTCCACTTGCTTCTGTCTTCTGCTGTACTTTTCACCTGCATCCGTGTTAGTCCATACTGTTTCAGCTCCTCTTCACACGATCTCCTCCATGTCACCCCTGGACGTCCCACTCACCGCTTCCCTTTCGGGTTCCACTCGAGCACTGGCCTGACGCGCGATGTCACCCAACGGCCTCCTCAGCGAGTGTCCAATCCATCTCCACTTTCTCCTGCATATTTGTTGGGCGATTTGTTCTTGTTTTGTTTGTTCCCATAGTTTCTTGTTGGTGACTCTTTCCGGCCACCTGGTCTTCAGTATAGAGCGAAGACAGTTGTTGATAAAGCTCTGCAACCTGTTGGAAATGTTC